TTGAGAGTATTCTTAAGGTTAAAGGAACATTAAAAGTATTCCTATAGATGAGAAATGCCACACCTGGACAGTAAACTTAACCAGCGTGTCCAGAAATGCTCACCTTGCCTCCCAGACAACCAAAAGACTTAGCAGTTTCACCTCTCCCCTGGAATGGTTGAATATTTACTCACTTGGGAAACTCCCCACTTCCATTCCACCTAGCCCTTCAGCATTACTAAATTGTGAACTGAAAAGTAACTCCATACCTGAGACAGTCAAACTATGGGGAAATCTTTAATAACAAAGGAAATCCCAGCATGAAGAACATTAACTGTTAACTTCCTGGAGGCATTAACTTTACCATTATAGTTAAGGATACCTGTCTGGGAAAAGACAGTGCTTAAGAAATGTATATACCAAAACAGCATGGTCTTTAATTAGAAATAGCCTTGGCTGTGATAGAGGAAAAAAAAAGTCCATGTTAGTTAGGTCCTCAGCCTTTAGGCCCAGAAATAAAAAGACTGTCACTGCTATGAAGTAGAAACAATATTATCTAATAGGTTGAAGTTCACACTCCTAGTCATGAATCTGAAATTATAATAAAGACTAAAAACAAATTCCTTTTCTCTGGAGGCTAACCAGGAACACAGGATTCCAAGAATTGGAACAATCTTGAGCTCTCCATTCTCATTCTGGGTAAAGACAGCCCACAGGCAAGGGAACATCATAAACTTTGGGGATTTATAAACAGATTGGCAACTCTCATCACCAGTATTTGAATTCATCTTCTAAATTTCCTTGTTCTGGTGTACCCTTTAACCTTATATGATTGCTCACCCCACCAACAACTTCCTGATAACCTATCGCTCCTCTTCCTGTCTTCTAATGGGTTTTATTTGCTGTCTGCCTACTTAGGTCATAACCAGCAGGACTGCAGCATACACAAGGGAAATTTTAGTTCTCAGTGTCCTAAACCATGAAAGAGATGGGAAAACAATTCTCTCCTGGAGACAGGAAAGATTTTGAAGATAATAGGAATTTTACCCTTATAAACAACTTTACTCATTTCCTGGATTGGCAACACATCAGGAAATCTCAACAGAGCTAGGAACACTAATCTCCATGCCTACTCTACTCATGGTCACATAAGAAGTAGTGGGGGGTCGTTATATTTAAGAGACTATTCTAAACAGCCTCTTACCAACTTCCATTGACAAATTTCATTGACAAGTTGAGCTCAAACCCACTTATCTCTCCTTTCAGGAGGAGTCAGGGCACACTGAGGCTCAACTCTTTCAATGGCCTGGCACCATCATTTGTGTAACTATTTCTACTTAAAAAGAAAAAAAAAAAATCACCTTACAGTTTCCCCAACCTTTTTTCTTCTCTAGTTCCTAGCCTTGTGTTTTGAAGCACCTCTTCAAACCCTGAGAACTTTTTTTTTTTAAAATATTTTATGAGACTATAGAGATTCTGAGACAAAGAACTCCTAAGATAAAGTGGAGGAAAAAACCCTTTACGTGCAATTAGATCTGCTCAGAGGCTACAGGTTAAGAAGTAAATGCAATGGAGCAAAAGTGGTATAGTAACAGGAAATATTTAATTTTCCAATCTCCACTTTCCATTTTTATAAACTGAAAGAAAAAATTTTAATATATTACAAAATATCTGTACATAGACAAGGTACACCCGATGTGGGGCAAAAACAAGAGAGAGAAGGAATACAGTGTCAGGAACCTAAATCAGGGAGAATGAGGTGGCAACTGACACTTTTCTGGTGCAGCATTCTCTCTCAAAACCTGCTGGTAACCATTTTAGTACTGTAACTATAAATGCATATTACACACACATACACACACACAGTGGCTGGGTGATGTCTATGGCATAACCTAACAAAAAGTCCTACTTACAAATTTGTGCTACTGCCCTGCTTTGAAAAGTATGTATCTGATGTCATTTTATCATTCCTATGGACAGTTGAAGAAAAAACTAAGGAACTGGGTCGAACAAAATTGTTTTCAAAACCACAAAAATGATCATGGTCAAACCAGTTTTGCCTCTCATTCACCAACAGCATCAGATTTCTCATCTGTTCAAAATAATGTATTTAATGGACTTATCTCCCATGGTACAATAATTAAAACAAAACAAAAACCACTTTTGAATATATCTGGGTTTGTAATTTTCTAACAGTCAAGTTGAAATTCTGCCAAAACTTTACTTCTACCACATTTATAGATAACATAGCTGAAAAATTAACAAATACCTTTTCTTCCTCCACACAGATTCCAGGATTTCTTTTTTCCTCTGCTTTTAGAAATAGTCAAAATTACTGAACTTTTTTCATTGTAAAGGCTACAATCCCCAAATGGGGGTAGGGGGTGAGATGGAATCACACACACACACACCCCATACATACACTCACCCCCTTCCCTAGTAGTAGGGATGAGGGAATGGAGACTTAAGTATATTATTTAGAATATTTGGCATAATTAAAAATAAGGGATGGGAAGGGGGAAGGAAAAACATTGATGATTGCTGATAACCAGAATGTAATTAAAATATAGAGAATTTTATTCATATTTGATGGGAGACCAATTCTTTTCACTGAATAGATACCTTTGAAAGTATCCCAGGCTTAAGTTCTTCAATCAAAAATGGGAGTAGGGCCCAATGCCTCAAATTCAAATATTCTAAAATACAAAGGCCCATGTCTGAGGACTAAGAAGTCAACAGACAAAACGTTTAGGTGAACTGTAATGGAATTTTTCAATAGCATGTCAGTGAGCCTAGCAAATCTAATTGGACACACTGGTATAAAAAGCCATCAATGCCAAAATGGCTAGAAGGTTCTTCCTCTAACCAATGTTTGCCCATGAGGGCAAGGCCAGACCAAAACCCAGAGAGTAATAAAGAAATACACACACCAGATATCTACCTATTTCAGTAAACAGGGGAAAATAGTCTTCATGTAAGTATCTGAAGAGGGTTCTTCTTTCTTTAAAGTTTTTTTTTTTTTATTAGTGCACCTTTCTCTTACAAGTAGTTTTTATTTTTTAATATAAGAACTTGGCATTGAAACACAAAACTTCACTTGAGTTCTGAGAACTATTCTCCAAGATGCTGAAGCATGTTTGCCTTTTCTTTGTAAAAGGGCCCTAATCTACGTTTCACAAAGGTCTAAGTCTGTGCAGATAATTTATATGAATGTGTATGTTTTTAAAACACATTATATGCTGGTATTCACATAGAAATGGAAGCCAGAATGAGAAGTCTCCCAAGTTATCCCACCCTGAAAGCCCTTCCCTTTTTCATTTCCTGTTTATAATAAGGCAAAATTCTTGCCATGAAGTCATAATTTAACCCCTTTTACCAAAAAACAAAAGCAAAATCAAATCTCTCTAGAAGAAATTCCCCCAAAGAATTGGCAGGATATACATGCTGAGATGTGTATATATCAATACTGTTTCTTTCTCATGGCCTGTTCTTTTAAAATTTTTTAAAAAAGGTCTCAGATATTGATAGATTTTCAGAAAAATATGCACCCTAAACTAAGTTACATTTTCATGTATTTTCAGGATGTATTTCTTTTCTCTTTGACAATAATGCTCTGTTTCAAAGGTTTTTTTGACATAAAAATATATGTGTAAACAGTATGCTAACTGCTCTTACTAGCCCTCTAGTTATGGAGGCATCATCTTAAACCCCAGCTCAACAGCAATGACCTAGACTGTCTGCATTTATAAATCAACTTCACCATCAGAACATGGTTTTAAAAAAACAAAAACATTTTAGAATTGAAAAGTTACAGAGAACAATATAGGAGTTTGAATTTCCTTTCCTTTATTTCAAAAAAAGTAAAGATTATCCCAGGTTCTTGGGCATCTCAACGATTAATTTTTTCCAAACAAATGCCTCAAAAAGAGACAGAGAGAGAGAGAGAGAATGAGAAACTCTATAAAGAGGGGGTAAAAAAGGGAAGAGATGGGGTAAATCTACCTACATGCCCAAGAGTGCCTCTTTCTACCACCTGCTTCATGTGCAGGGAGAGGGGCATGTCTTTTGCCAAAGCAGAGCAAACTTTAAGGATGAGTAATTTATTTGGAAAAAAGGTATGTTCAAGATGCTCAATGGGGAAAAAAAGAGTTCACTTGAAAGCAAAAATGTGAGATGGTAGAGAGGAAGGAAACATTTATTTAAATCAGCCAGTCACTCTCTTTCCCTTATAGCAAAAGCCTAAGAGTAGCTCAAATATCGTGAACACTATTATCTTTAAAGGAAAACAAAAAACAAAAACAAAATTCAAAAGAAAGAAATCATAAAAAAAATCCCCAAATTTTAAAAACCTAAAGAGAGCCTCTCCTGAGCCATCTCAAAATTAAAACTGTTCTCCTTTTCTTCTGCTCAAGAAGTGCAGGCAAATGAACTAATACAACATTTACTTTTCAATTTAATGACCCTCTCCACATTCTCTACTTGTATCTACTAGGTAGAGTTGAAGTAATTGTTCTGGCTGTAGCCCATCCAGGGGGAACTGGTGCCAACATCATTATTTTGTAAGTCGCCTGCTAGTAGCAAGTGAGCAAGGAATACAACAGACAGCTTTGCGGTAGCCAAATGCAGATGATTACCTCGCTCTGGCAAATGATTTCATTAATGTTTCAGAGGACTGGATGGAAGGATGAATAGGGAAGGAATCTTTCAGGACACTGAAGTCTCTGGGTTAGTAAGGAACTCCTCTCCCTCTTCCCCCTCTTGGCGGGACTCTTGTAGGCCCCCGATAGAGTTTTCCATAAGCAGAAGACTGAGCTGGGCCCCCCCAGTTAAGGCCTGCTCCTGAACTGCTGGCTCCAGTGTTTCCTGGCCCCAGCTCCCCATAGTTCTGCAATTTGGTCTCTGTATGTACCACAGAGTTGCTGCTTCCCTCAGCCTTCAGGAATGGTTGCCCGACCACTGAGTGTAATGGTAAGGGGACCCTGGCAAAACGGAGGTCCTGGTCCCCTGGGAACTGCACTGACCCTGTGCCCTGGTAACTGCTGGACTCCCCAAGGTGGCTCACAGAGCCTGAGAAGGTCCTGTTCTTCACCAGGGTCTGGGTCAAGGATTCTGTCAAAGCTGGACCAGAGTTGCGTTCATCAGTGTCAGTGGCACTGAACCCTGTTTCAGGCCCATCAGTGTTTCCGTAAGTCCTGTTGGGATGGGGTCGGGTGGAGTATTCCATTGGTCTCAAGGCCTGGTGCTCATGTGGCAGGTGGCCAGGAGGCTCTGCTTCAGGCTGGGATAAAAGTTGCAGCAAGGCGGCTGTCACGGCTGGGTTCAACTCCTGGGGGGCGCTGGAAAGATCGCCTTCAACCAGAGGGGGTGGAGGTGGCGGCGGTGGAGGTCCGGGGGGCTCAGGGGGCCTCTTCTCTGGTGGAAGAATGTGAGGAGGACATGCTGTGGAAGGGTTACTTCTTTTAAACACCATCTTAAAAATCACATGTGATTATAAACACAAACACACACACACATACACACACATACACTGCCCAACATAAACAAATATCAATACAAGTAACCATATATATATAAAGAATAAAATCTTGGGATCAGGAAATTGCAATTTATAAATAAAATCAAGTGAATAAAATAAAACAGTTGCATTATGAATCTAACAGCTGGTGTAAAAAAGCTCGTATGTTTCAAATGATTGTCCTGATTTTTGTCTGAGATTTCCTCCATTTCCTTCCTTAAGGAACTGTTCTAATATGTAGGCTGTTAGCAGCCTCCCCACCCCTTTTTGCTGTTGGATCAAAACATTAATGAAAATAACGTAGAAAGAAGGAAGATGAGAGGAAATAATACACATGTTGTGGTCACATTTCTAGCACATAATCTTGTTGTACAATAGAAGACCTTGCACGGACTTAGCTAACACATTTTACAGAACATTTGATGATATAAGGTTAACACCTGAAATAGAACTTAAAAGAATATACAGGAGAGATGAAATAAAGTAAAAACCTTTCATCACCGTCACGTTTAAATATACACTTGCTTCTCCAAACTTTAGTCCCCTTTCCCCATAATCACATTCTGAAGAAAGGGATATTAACCACCATTCTGTCATTCAGCTTTCTATGTTACAGTAATGATAAAGACTAATCTATCATATTTTCTATTTTGTTTCCCAACCTCTTGCATTTTTTTCCATGCTATGAAAAAAATCACTATAGTAATGTCATGCAGAATGAATGGGCTATTGATAAACATCTGTTTATCTTGGAGATGGTGACAAGAACTGAGTATTTAGAAATGTTGAACTTATATACTACACTCTGTCTTTCCAAAGATCTTTGTCTTTCTTGAACCACTCCCCACATTCCCACACCCGCATGCCCCAACCACCCTGTTGGCTAAATTTACCTAAGCATGGCAATCATTGTCTGGTAACTCCTGCCAAGGCTGGAGAGTAGAGATGTAAAATGGTGTGAGTTTGAGGACATACAAAAGCAAGTACAATCAGAACAGTGTTTTTAAAGAGTTAGGAGTCACCCTGCTGAAGAAAAGGTTTAATGTTTTGGGTTATCTTCCAAAAGACTGATTTTTCTGTTCCCTATGGAACTGTATTTTTAAATGCCCATATAGTCAATTCTTTATTATCTGAGCTACTGATATAAGAGTCATTACTCAGACAAGCCAAAAATAGTTTTTAGTTATAAAGTATTTTGGTAGCATATTTACCACAATTATATTTTGCAAAGACAATCAGTAAATTAAGTATGTATTCTTTCAGCATGCAGGTGAAAGTACTCTGAAAACACAATATTGTAATGTTGTACCCTGGAAAGATAAGTTCAGGTGCTATATGTAACATACAAGTAGGGGGGCCAACAGTCCCAAGTTGCCTGGGACTGAGCAGGTTTCTCAGGTTGCTGACTTTCAGTTTTAAAACCACGACAGTTACAGAGATGAGTTGGTCACCCTGTATACCGTACCCACCCAAGTTGCTTGTTGACAGATCGGTTGTTTGACTAGGTGGTAGGTAAAAATGAATTTAAGGACAAAAAATTAGCTATAGAAAACTCACAATTGAAAAGAAGATATACTGAGAAAGGAGCGCTAACTGGACTACAAACATCTATAGATCTTGGAGCTCCTTGCTGCCATACTATATATCTCACTACATAAGACATCTCAGTACCACTTATATTTAAAAGTATTTTTGGACTATACATAAAACACCAGCTTTTTTAATACCAATTGTAAACAACTTTAAAAATGCCTTACTGCAAAAGTAAGCAAAGCTAAACTTATTCTTCCAACTATACTACTTTTCATACTTGAACTCTGCCTTTTATGTAAACACTCTAGCTGTGTTTCAAGAGAACGAATTCTTGAGTTAAAATTCACATGTATGAGAATAGAAACTACCTCAACGTAGAAAAGCAGATTGTAAAGAACTATTAAATAAAACTTCTTAAAAAAATAAAGAGCACATTTAAAAAATCATACTATTATAACATTCAGTGTTAATAATATTTCCAATTCTTAACAGTCTGTACTAATGGAGGGAGTTATTAATGAAATGTATAAATAACTTAAGTATTTTGATTGATTTATTAAATTCCAATCTTAACCCTTTCCCCACACAAGTAAAGGAGTAGCTAAACATAGCCAAAGTGATAGATTTTCACCTTCTCTGGCTTATTCAGTCTGCCCTCTGGTGGAAATGGTAATGAACAGTAAAACGGCCAAAAGAGAGGCAGCAGGGGAGAAACAGAAACAGGAGAGATAGGGAACACTGGATAATCCGTGGGTAATAATAAGGATTGGTATTTTCACTCTCCTTTGAAAAGTAAACCCAACAATTTCTGGCCATATGCCAGGCCTTAATTTTAGCTCAATCTCACCATTTGGCTGACGGCTTGTTAGCTCAATTATTGGGTAAATTTCTTTCAATTCCTGTATTATTTAATTTGAATGAGTTCTTCCAGGTATTTTGATTATAGCTGAATTTTTCTGCTGGGGTAGGGAGGAGAAGGAAGGTGTGGGAGAGGAGGCAAAAAGGCCTGCTTTGATTCTAGATTAGCTTTCTCTGTTATTCCATGTTCTAGTCTCTTAAAAGCAACTGGAATCAGTATGACAGGAAAACAAAGTGAATTAGAAAACACATTAAAAAAAAAATATTAAGAAAAGTATGCCAGTCCTAATTCTGCCTCTGCCAATAATATGGTTCCAGCAGTGAGACCATAGGCAGGCTTCTTGGATTTCAGTTTCCCTATCTGTAAAGGGGTTAATTTTATTTATGTTATCTTCCAATTTTAAAAAGCTTTGCATGTGTGAAAAATAACTTATATATTTGTATACCAGTTGAAAAAAGGCATATACTTTCTGCACCATCCCGTATGAAATGCAAATGTAGGACAACCTAAAGTTGAAGGTTAGTGTACCTCCTCAGCCCTTGTGCCTCTTCTCATTCCCCAATTCATGGGGTCTTCATGGACAGCGAAAATTTCCAACAAGTTGAAAACACTTTCACATAAGTAAGCATTTTGCAAAAAGACTGTGAATGAGAATTAGAAAATTTAAACTTTTTTTTCCTCTAATAAAATTGTGTGGTGTGGTCATGCCAGACCAAGGTATAATATATTTCCTTTTCTTAGATTTTTCTTTATGTAATGCTCACTTCCTAATTTGGGGTCCATTCAACTGTCTCTTTTAGGAACACAGGTTTTTAAAAAGCATTTTTATACACTCTAATTTTGGGGGAAAGGAAATGTATGGTGTTACTTATCTACTTAGAAATATTTCTATATTACTCCTCAGGAGATTAACAATGGCATTTTATCAGGTTTTTTTTTTTTTACTATATCTTTCAGGTAAGACTCGTATCCAGTATTCACTACACACTACAGTAAAATTGACTATTTGTACAATCTGATGATGGTTTATTTGGAAGGCAGATTTTCAAGTGCTAGTACTAGTTGGCCACCATTCTCACAGTGATTCAAGATGTATCACTAGGTATGGTTGTGGTTTCCTTGGGTTAGCTACAGAGGCTTTACTTACCTACCTCCTAGGAAATGGAAAAACAATCAGTATATGAAAAGTGCTTTGAGAAGCTCTGAGACTTAAATAGAAGCCAGGCAAGAAATACATCACTGGGTGCTACGTTCTCCTGTAGGCTAGGTTACAGAAAACTGAAACTGAGGCCACTGATGTGAAAAAGAAAATGTTAAAGAGATTTTTAAGAGGATCAACAGCACCTGAGCTCAATGAGATTCATGACCGGTCTGTTTACCTGCTGCCTCCTCCTGTGGCATTGTGGGAGTTCTTCGGGGCCCCTGTGGCCCACTGTTCTTGTCACTGCTGTTTTCCTCCAGGCTGCCTGCTGGCTCCTGGGTTTTCATCAGCTGACTCAAAAGAACTGCCAACATATTCTGCATGTCAGCTGGTGTGCTTGAAGCTTCAGAGCTTGTCTGTTCTGCTGAAGGTTGGACCACTAGGGCAGGAGGTGCCTCCTTCAAAGACTCTTCTGGGGCCAAGGGCTCTGAGTCCTGCTGCTGGGAAGTGGCTTCAGTTAGGGCACTGATGGATTGGTTCAGGGCCTCCAGCTGCTGCTGCATCTCTGGGTTGGAGTGGATGTTAAGCAGCTGAGCCATCTGAGGGATGCTCAGGTCGGTTTGGCTCTGCAGCAGATTCAGTAACACTGCCAATTCACTTTGATTCAACTGCTGTGTGATGTCACCGAGGCCTGTGGACAGACAGTGGAGCCAATATAAGAGGATGAGGCAGGTTAAGGACCTCTGGCTTCTTCAACTGGCAACGGCAACTTAACAATATTCAAAGTATGAAGTTTCATTTTGAATATCTCATTTTTCATGCCTCAAAGTGTCATGACAATTTGTTATTCTTTATATTTTCACTTCAAAATACAGGAACAAGCTAAAACATCTCTGTACTGTGAGTAAAACTGATCTCATTTTATCTATATTCTTCAAGATCAGTGACTTATAACCCTTATTGCACATCAGAATTACTAGGAGAGATTGTAAAATTCAGATGCTTCAGTTTCCACCCCCAGAGATCTGGCAAATGTTCAGGAGTATTTGCTTTTCAAGTTTCCCAGATGATCTGAATGTGCAGCCAGTGTTAAAAACCAATCTTATAGGTGGACAGGGAAAGGAAAGTGAGCCATGGAAAGAATACCTATAGTTCAGAAAAACTGATGGTACCACAGGACAACCACTTTATTATAACTGTTCACTATTACACAGTTTTGGATATATTTAGATCAAATAACCTTCCACAGAACTAACTACATTTAATAGCAATTGTGATTTAAATGATTAGACTCTAAGAAGGGCTTAGCAAATCTAACATCAACAGGGTTCCAAATTACATGTTAGAAAACCATGGGTAAGGGGCGCCTAGGTGGTTCAGTTGGTTAAAGCCTCTGCCTTCGGCTCAGGTCATGATCCCAGGGTCCTGGGATCGAGCCCCGCATCGGGCTCTCTGCTCAGCAGGGAGCCTGCTTCCTTTCCTCTCTTTCCCCACCTCTCTGCCTAGTTGTGATCTCTGTTTGTCAAATAAATAAATAAATAATCTTAAAAAAAAAAAAAGAAAAGAAAAGAAAAGAAAAGAAAAGAAAACCATGGGTAAATGAACCTTATATTTGGCCTATTTAATGATTTATACTATACATCTAGTTAAGATATAGCATTCCCACTTTCTTGAAAGGAAAATAGTCTACTGTAGACTTTCTAGACCATATGCACAAAACTTGGTTTAGCTCCTTCTCCTCATAATGAGGTCACTTCTTTATTAATTTATTAATGCTTCAGTGGCTAAAAACTAAAACACACACGCACGCATGCATTCTTGCACTTGACCATCAAAACCTGCCCTAATGTCCTTAAAGCACAAAAACTCCATCCTAGAACTGACCTATTGCATCCCCAGTCCCAGGCTCCACCTTGCCAGGAGCAGGCTGAGGTGGTGCTGGGCTGCTATTCTTCACAGGCTCAGCACTTGTCCCTGAGGTAGTTTCTTTCCGAGAGGCTTTGGAAGGAGGTGGCTCTTCTATCACAACACCACTCTGTCGCTGTCGTCGCCGTTTCTTACTCCATAATTCATGGCAATCCTGCCAGTGGGGGAGGCTGCAAAAAGAGAAAGCAAAGGGGAAATGTGTGTGGGACTGCAACAGTGAGTGAATGGAGGAACAAGAGATTAAAATGTGAAGGTAAAGAGCAGAAGGAAATGAAAAGAATGACATAAATAAAAGTAATTAGAAATATTAGTAAATAGATAGTAGCACTGTAAAAGGGATCATGGCATATGGTAGGTAGTCTAAGGAAATAAAAGTCCAAAAGCCCAAGAGACTTCTACAGTGAGAAATGAAGAGGCGCCTGGGTGGCTCAGTGGGTTAAGCCTCTGCCTTTGGCTCAGGTCATGATCTCAGGGTCCTGGGATCAAGCCCCTCAGCGGGGAGCGGGGAGCCTCCTTCTCCCCCTTCTCTCTGCCTACCTCTCTGCCTACTTGTGATCTCTGTCTGTCAAATAAATAAAATATTAAAAAAAAAAAGACACATTTACAGTGAGAAATGAGGGTCTTGCTAATATCAGTGACATACCTACTATATAAATGCCCACATTCCAAATAGTTAAGTCTTACAACTATTCTTGCTTTACATAACAAGAATAAAGGAGAACTTTACTGGTCAAGTTTCAATTGGGAATAAGCAGGACAGAGATGACCAGCTTGTTAGTATCTACAAAAAAGTCCAGGCAAGGTGGTGGACCACTAAAGTACAGTATTATTAAATCACCTTTGTGAAAAATCAATTTATGTTTTATTTGATCTGTGAGGACCAAAAAACAGGTTCTTTTCTTCTTTCTACCCAGTGAATTTCCATGGCTCGATATTTTGTGGGGTTTATTAGTAAAATTTGATATATATTTCCAGATTTCCTTATATTTGATTATGCAAATCTTATTACAATAAAGATTACCAGAGTCAAAATCTCCCTATAATAAGAGCTCCCAAATTTCAGTAAAAAGTTTATGTATTTCAATCCACATTCAATGTTATCAAAATTCTAGTGCAGTAAATAAAAATGAATAAATATGGACATTTCTTTGAAACAAGTAGATTTATAGTTACTACCCACTCAGTCTTTAAATACTGTGTATTTCAGGGCACCTGGGTGGCTCAGTCATTAAGCATCTGCCTTTGGCTCAGGTCATGATCTCAGGGTTCTGGAATACAACCGTGCGTCAGGCTCCCCATTCTGCGGGAAGCCAGCTTCTCCCTCTCCCATTCCCCTGCTTGTGTTCCCTCTCTCACTGTGTGTTTCTCTGTCAAATAAACAAAATCTTTTGTAAATAAATAAATAAATAATGTATCTCTTTAAGACAGTTTCTTTATGTAAGAAAAAATACCCAAGGACTCTGACATGAAAGCTATAACACTGTCAATGATAAATTCAAAGATATAAGACTTTTTATCTGCCAAATGTGAAACATGAGTATAGAACCTTAGAAGATCCTACAGAATATAGAAAATACAGAAGATTCTGCTGAGAGAGACACACATTCAAACACTCTATTTTCAACATCAAAATTCGGGTTATATGACCTGACAGTGATGCAAACTATTTAAAATTAGGATTGTCTTTCCAAATATGGGATATACATGGTCACCAGACATTGGAGATTCAAGCAAATGAGAAAGGTAAGAGCAAAAACTAGAAGAATATTTTCAAAGAAGTTGTACAAGGCAAAATGCTGGGGATTCAGGGACAAAAGACAGCTCGAGTCAAATTAGAACAAATTATCATAAATAAATCTATTCCTTATTTAAAAAGAAAACATAGAGCAATAAAACAAACCTCTTATCAATCATAATATTCAAGGGTATCTCTCCATTCTGGACTTAGTCATTTGGAGTTCCTCCTAAAAACCTATTGTTTTGAGTTTCTCATCTCCTGAGGCTTAATGAGAGGTTTAGGGTCACTAATTGGCCAGCAGCACTTACTCTGGAGGATCCATTTTGCTGAGCTCAACATCTTTAAGGAAGTCACTCTGTAAAGTCTGTTCAGCTGTGCAACGTTTGCTAGGATCTAGTGTTAGCATGTGGTCCAGTAAATCAAGTGCTGCTGAAGGAATGCTGTGGAAAGAACAAATTCAAAATGATCCCAGAGTTCTTAAACCTGTAACCTTCTTTCAAAGGTCTCTGAATTTCCAGCTCCATGTATAACTGTGGAAAGGAGCTAGAAGCTGGCTAAACAAGCAAGCAGATTTGCTCCCACACAGGATTCATGCAATGCTGTATTACAGGTAGAAAACATGAAGCCAGCAGTTCCATTCTCTTTTTTATTGTGGGAAGATCAAAAGGACCATGAGAAATCTTACATATTGTTCACAATAAAATGATTTTCTATCACCTAAAGCCTTCAGGGGCACCTGGCTGACTTAGTTGGAAGAGCATGCAACTCTTGATCTTGGGGTCATGAGTACCAGCCCCATGTTGGGTGTAGAGAATATTTAAATAAAATCAAAACTTAAAAAAAAAAAAAAAAAAAAAGTAGGGCACTGGGTGGCTCAGTTGGTTAGGCAACTGCCTTTGGCTTAGGTCATGATCTTAAGGTCCTGGGATCGAGTCCTACCTACATCAGGCTCCTTGTTCAGCGGGGCATCTGCTTCTGCCTCTCCCTCTGCCCAGCCCAGCTCCCTCTCTGCCCTACTCGTGCTCTCTCTCTCACTCCCTCTCTCTCAAATAAATAAATAAAATCTAAATAAATGAATGAATAAATAGATAAAGCAGGGGCGCCTGCATGGCTCAGATGGTTAAGTGTCTGCCTTTGGATCAGGTCCTTATCTCCAGCTCTTGGGACTGAGCCCCATGTCAGGCTGCTCTCCCCCTGCTGTCTGTCTGTCTGTCTCTCTCTGAATCTCTCTCAAATCAATAAATAAAAAAATAAAAAATAAAGCCTCCGTAAGAGAAAATTACAACAGCACTATGGTAAAATTCATATACTGCTCAAAGATAAAATGTTTTCCTGTGGTGTGCTGCCATAAAAAGTTGACAACATTAACTCCCTATGCCAGGAGAAAGTCAAGTCTAAACACCAGCTAAACACAGAAACCAGATGTACATTTTTGCCAAACTTACAAAGAGAATTCTTCTCGTAGACGCCTTCTATATTGTTTCTTCGGTTTCATGGTATTGAAGTAGGGCAGCTTGATAACATCAGGCCACACAGCTGGACAAGGGCTACCACAGAGTCGACTGAAAACAAAGCAAAAAGCCAGAACAAGAAGTGAGTGAGTCAGCATTGCGAATCCTGGAGATTACAGAAGCAGAAATTATTACCTCCTGAAGTCTGAGGGAATCTTGGCTTATTAAATTAGAGGGCATGCAGAAAGATAAAACCTGACCTCACTGCTTTAAGAACAGAAGGAATAGGAAACAACTGGTTACAAGATAGTGAAGAGAAAATCTGGCAAAAGAATCCAAAATTAACCATACACTTGGTTTTGTAAAACATTTTTTAAACCTCCATAAAGATTTTCATTATCAATTTTGTTCTGTTCAGATAGTATTAATTTCAAAGTGATAAGCTGATCCTATAATGTCCCTATAGGGAAAACTGGCAGAAGAGAGGCTAAAGAAATTTTGATAGAAAACTGAATTTAATGCTTAACAAATAATGAGTTATATGCTACCTTTAATTATCTGTTTACATGCTTTATCACTTACTAAATTCTGAGCTTTTTGAAGGCAAGGACCTATCTTATATATTTCTAAATCCTAAAGTTTAACAGAGAAAGGAATTTGTTATAGATCAGGCACAATAATTGTTTGCTAAATTAATCTGATCTTAATCTAACCTAGGAATGAAACAGCCACATTGAAAATGGCATGCTTTAATATGAAGAATTAAAAAAAAAAAGCAAAGATCTAAAAAGTCTAAAAAGGGGGAACCTAAGAGGTAACACCTTTAGTAAGACCTAAAAAAGGGGATTACAACTTCTTTACATCTACAGCCCATGACAAAATACGTGGTGAATCTGACTAAGAAACTTACTTGGACATAAGAAGCATAAACTTACTTAGTAGAATGAACAAAAAATATTAGAAATTAGAAAATAAGATCACCTATCACACCTGGGCACCCAGAGCACATGCACAGCTGTACCTGATCAGCTCCAGCTGAGCCAGTTCCAGATTGGCTTGAAAAATAGGCTTCTTTGTGAATAATTCCCCAAGGATGCATCTAGAAAGAGTAAAACTGAGAGGTCAAGAGAGATATCCCTGGAGCCTAACCTGTGTCTCAATAGACTTTTGTAGTCTATCTGGCTGCATCTGATATACCATGTTGTAAATAAGCTCCAAACTGCAGTGTCTTGAGTTTTGTAAAAGAAAATATTTCTTGAAGTGAGAATAGATAGTATAAAGAATTTATATTTGCCAGGAGATCAAATTTTTGCCACCTATAAAGTCTATAAGCATAGAAAATGAACAGAATCCTTTTCTACCAATTCCATTATAAATTAAGGAAGTAAAGACTAAAAAAACTCATACTTCAATTTTACAAGGATCCTCAGCAGTTCCTATAAAGAAATTAGCTTTTCCATTCATTTGTTCTATAGAATATGCAATATACTATTGCCCTCTTATTGTCATCAGATATCAGTTTTAACAGGACTTTCAAACACATTATGCTTAAATGTCTTTCCCATTTTGAAAATGTCTTCCAAAATAATACTGAAATACTTACAAAGTCCCCAGATATGTCTCCACAAATTACTTAATTACAAAAGGAAAACTAGTAACTATTTAATGGGGAAAAAGACAACACCTTAATTAAGTGTCCAAAATTAGTATCACCAATAAGAGGGAAAAAGGGTTTACATAAATACAAACATGGTAACTTAACACTTACGGAATATTCCAGCCAAAACTTTATAATCTGAATCTATATAGTAGCTAGAGCTAGTGTGACCTTCAAAAATGTAAATGTAATGAAAGACAAAGGCTAAAGACTGTTCCAGAGTAAAGACTGAGATCTAGTGGTGCCTGGGTGGCTCAGCCAGTTGGGTGTCTGCCTTCAGCTCAGGTCCTGAGCCTGAGATGGAGCCCCACATCAGGATCTCTGCTCAGCAGGGAACCTGCTTCTCTCTCTCCCTGCTGCTCTGCCTACCTGTGATTTCTCTTTCTCTGTGTCAAATAAATAAAATCTTAAAAACAAAACAAAAAAAACCCCAAAAATGTGAATGTCACGAAAGACAAAGGCTAAGGACTGTTCCAGAGTAAAGAATGAGAACTAGGGGTGCCTTCATGGCACAGTTAGCATCTGACTCTTGGTTTCAGCTCAGGATCCTAGGATCCAGCCCTGCATTGGGCTCCGTACGCTTACCATGGGGTCTGCTTGAGATTCTCTCTATTCCCACTCACGCACTCTCTCACCAAGATAAATAAATCTTTAAAAAGTTAAAAAAAAAAAAAAAAGGAGAGAACTAAATGTCATACATGATACTGGATTAAATCCTCTGTGAGGTGAGGTATTGTTTCTAGCATATTATTAGTATACTAAAAAAATAAGAACATGGAATGTAAGCTATAGGACTTAAAAGACAGAGTATCATGGTTAAGTTTCCTGAATTTGATAATGGTACTGTGATTATACATGAGAATATCTTTGTTCTTAAGAAATGTACATGAAGGGCGACTAGATGGTTATTATATGTTCTGCCGAAGTGAGCACAAGGGCGACTAGGTGGTTAAACATCTGCCTTCGACTCAGGTCATGATCCCAGGGTCCTGGGATTAAGTCCCACACTGAGCTCTCTGCTCAGCGGGGAGTCTAATTCTCCCTCTCCCTCTGCCTCCAGCTCCCCCTGCTTATGCTCTCTCTCTGTCAAATAAATGAATACAATCTTTAAAACAATGTACATTAGGGGTGCCTGGGTGGCTCAGTGGGTTAAAGCCTCTGCCTTTGGCTCGGGTCATGATCCCAGGGTCCTGGGATGGAGCCCCGAGTCAGGCTCTCTGCTCAGTGGGAAGCCTGCTTCCCCCAATCTCTCTCTCTGCCTGCCTCTCTGCCTACTTGTGATCTCTGTCAAATAAATAAAGAAAATCTTGGGGCGCCTGGGTGGCTCAGTGGGTTAAGCCTCAGCCTTTGGCTCAGGTCATGATCCCAGGGTCCTGGATCGAGCCCCGCATCGGGCTCTGCTCAGCAGGGAGCCTGCTTCCCTTCCTCTCTCTCTGCCTGCCTCTCTGCCTACTTGTGATCTCTGTCTGTCAAATAAATAAATTAAAAAATAAAGAAAGAAAGAAAGAAAGAAAGATAGAAAGAAAATCTTAAAAAAAAAAGAATGTACATTAAACATTAAGAAGGGAAAGAGTATGATATATACAACTACTTTTGGACAGTTCTGGAAAAAAGATGGGGTGTGCATACAAGAATATAAAAGCAAATGTGGCAAGATGTTCACAATTAGTGAATCTAACATGAATAAATCTCAAAATAATTATGCTGAGTAAAAGATACAGAGGGATAAAGAACATATATTGCATGATTCCATTTACATAAAATTCTAGAAATGGAAATCAATCTACAGTGATAGAATAGGTGTTGCCTAGGAATGGGATAGTCCTGACAGGAAAGAGAGATTACAAAGGAACAGAGGGAAGCTTTTAGAAGTCATCATTATCTTGGTTGTGGTGATGGTTTCACTGGTGTATATGTCAAAACTTAAACTGTACATTTTAAACACATGCAGTTTACTATATACTTCAAAAGGTTAAAAAATTTTCGTGAATATGGATGAAAGCTATACTAAAGTTCTTTGTACTTTTCTAGGAACTTTCTATACATATGAAATTATATAAAAATTAATCTAGTTAAGTTTTTTTTCAGTGTTACATTAGTTTCAGGTGTACAATATAGTAATTCAACATGTTCATACATCCAGTGCTCATCACAAGTGAACTCCTTCATTTCCATCACCTATTTAACCTATCATCCCTATCAATATAAATTCAAAACAAATGAAAAAAAAAAAAAGCCATGAATACTCTACATTTTTCTGTTCCTAAAATTTTTTTTTGAAAAGTGGGAAAACAAAGAAAATGAATAAAAAAATCTCTTCTCTGGCCTGTGTTTTGAAATCACATTTACAAATACAAAAGCAGTACTTATCGTTTCACTCTGAATTCTTTAGCTTAACTAAATTTGAGAAACAAAACAAATCTAGTTTTCAAAATTATTAGCACCTTTCTATTAGCATTTATTAACCTCAAATGACAAATTCTTTTTTTTAAAGATTTTATTTATTTGCCAGAGAGAGCAAGTGAGACAGTGTAATGGCAGAAGCAGAGGGAGTGGCAGGCAGAGGGAGAAGCAGGCTCCCCACTGAGCAGGGAGCCCGATGTGGGACTCCATCCCAGGACCCTGGGATCATGACCTCAGCCAAAGGCAAATGCTTAACTGACTGAGCCACACAGGTGTCCCTCAAATGACAAATTCTTACTTTATATTCACTCAAACCTTATCTAGAAATTAGAAAAGTAAATGCAGGGGTGCCTGGGTGGCTAAGTCAGTTAAGCATCCAACTCTGGATTTCGGCTTGGGTCATGATCTCAGGGTCCTAGGATTGATCCTCACGTCAAACTCCACACTCAGCAGAGTCTGCTTGAGTTTCTCTCCTTACGCCCCTCCCTCTTTCTCTTTCTAAAATAATAAATCTTTAAAAATATAAAAAAGTAGGAGCGCCTGGGTGGCTCAGTGGGTTAAAGCCTCTGCCTTTGGCTCAGGTCATGATCCCGGGGTCCTGGGATCGAGCCCCACATCGGGCTCTCTGCTCAGCACGGAGCCTGCTTCCCTTCCTCTCTCTCTGCCTGCCTCTCTGCCTACTTGTGATCTCTGTCTGTCAAATAAAAAAAAAAACTTAAAAAAAATATATATATAGTAAAATTTAACTCTATTTCCAACATTAACCACTAAATCAAATTCCAAATAGTGTTGTCACAACTGGTAACATAAGGAAGAAAAAAAAGAAACCCAGGTGGTTTTCAGAATCTAGGCATAATTTGTTGTACTAGTTTTTCTAGTTTCTCCTTCACAGAGATATCCACGGATTACTGAAGTAGTAAGCTCACATCTAGCAAATTCTTAATTTAGTGAAGTTACTGGGCTTTAAAGTCTAATCTATAATTTTAATTTTCTTTTGTTTTATTTCAGTTTCTAGGTCTTTGGTGGGGAAGACATTATTATGTAATCAATACTCTGCTACTACACTGAGGTGGCAGGCTGCTCACTGAAATAATAATACCAACGGAGCTATGAACTTTCCCTGTGTATCTTAATGGGGCGTTAACTTTAGAGCCTAGTTGTGACAATTTAAATGCTAATACTGTTAAAGCAAATAGTCCAGAACACAAACACACCCAGCTTGAGTTAGTAAAATTTAACTAAAGCTTCAATGGAGTTGGGTAGGCTACCATAGAGATTATGCTCTCCTTATCACCCTTTTGAATTTTGAAATAAAATCCCTGCAGTGCTCCTTTTAAAGACTGACATCAATACAGGAGGGAATGAATGGGAAAAAAAGGATATGCTCCACTTGCAAGTATCTATGTCAGAACCCTAAGATATAGAGGTCAAGGACAGAATGTATACGCATAAATCATACAGTATCAAAAACAATTAACTAACTTCCAGGACACCCAGGTGTCTCAGTTGGTGAAGTGTCTGCTTTTGGCTCAGGTCATGATCTCAGGTTCCTGGGATCAAGCCCCGCATTGGGGTCCCTGCTCAGTGGTGACTCTGCTTCTCTCTCTCCCCTTGCTCGTGTGCTTTCTCTCTCTCTCTCCCTCAAATAAATAAAATCTTAACATAAAATGATCTCACAATCCTGAGATCATGATCTGAGCAGAAACCAAGAGTTGGCTGTTGGGGTACCTGGGTGGCTCAGGTGGTTAGGCCTCTGTATATCTTCCTACAGTAAAAGAAAAACAAAACCCAACAACTATAATTGCTACCTCCTAGGGCCGGCATTTACGTAAGTGTCAGGAAGAAGTATATAGGTGCTTGGTCAGTGGTGGCTGGGGTGGAACAGCTGGTGAGGCCATTTAGGTAAGGGGGAAATTGTGTGTGTGTTGGGAGGCTTAAACACTACAGTGACATATAATGAAATCACCCAAAAGGTCTGGGTTCAAATGTGAGCTCTATAATTCTACCGCCAGGAGACCCAGGGCAAGCTCTCTTAAGCCTGAAGTCCAGGTTCCCTATCTGTGTATAGAATGGGTCATGTCTGGGCACCTGGGTGGCTTAGTTAAGTGTCTGCCTTTGGCTCAGGTCATGATCCCAGGGTCCTGGGATTGAGCCCGGTGTCCTGCTCCTTGCTTTACAGGGAGCCTGATTCTCCCTCTCCTTCTGCCATTCCCCCTGCTTTTGCGTGCTCTCACTCTCTCCATCAAATGAATAAATAAAGTCTTAAAAAAAAAAGTCAGATGCTTAACTTACTGAGCCATCTAGGCACCCCCAAAATGTCTACGTTCTAACACAAATTGTGGTCTCTAAATATCATTTTCCCAAAAGGAATTAAGACTCTTAAGAGGGGCACCTGGGTGGCTCAGTGGGTTAAAGCCTCTGCCTTCGGCTCAGGTCATGATCCCAGGGTCCTGGGATCAAGCCCCATATCGGGCTCTCTGCTCAGCAGGGAGCCTGCTTCCTCCTCTCTCTGCCTGCCTCTTTGCCTACTTGTGATCTCTATCTGTCAAATAAATAAATAAAATCTTAAAAAAAAAAAAAAAGACTCTTGAGAGAATGGCTGATTCCAGGTGTGGGGCGTGAAATGAACAGGACGAGCTTGGAACCAGAAAACAAGCAAGGCTATTTATCAAGTGCTCGGAGTGTTGGAAGGACCCACTAAACTTCTGCGGGCCAAAGACTAGAAAATGTAAATAGGAATAAGATGATAATCATAAGTTTAAAACACATTAAAAAATTGGGGCACCTGAGTGGCTCAGTCAGTTGAGCATCTGACTCTTGATTTTGGCTCAGGTCATGGTCTTAGGGTCATGGGACAAGCCCTATATCAGGCTCTGCAAGCCACCCAGGTGCCCTCCTCACTATCTTTTTAAAACTGGTAAATAAAATCAAAGAATTAAAGCTTTATCTCTCTCTACTTTTTCTATAGGATTTGTACCCAGGGTTAGTAAAATAGATGTTCTCTTTATTCCAAGGAAGGAATAATATAATTATAATATCACCATCACAAAACAATCACAAATGAATGAGTGACAGTGAATCATTAATAACTGATAACACTTCAAAAAGAGATAACTGTATATTGTATAAAGTGGGGCGTGTGTGTATGTGTGTGTATAAATCTGCCCTGTTATGAATGAATATTTTAGCATACATTGTTTAGAACTGCCTCTATAATCTGATAATAAAAAGCACACTAATTTGTAGTGGATTATTTTATTGCTTTTAAATTCTCTACAGATAATGTATCCAGTTATTGTCTGTACTCTAGGCAGAGGTTCCCAACGCCTCCTACCTCCAACTTTGATGTATTATTGGCTATAATTACACAAAACCACCTGTAAAGTAGTTTCAGGGTCAGTGGGTGATTGGTAATCAAACTTGAATTCACCTACAAATTACAGGAAATAAAAAGGAACAGAGACCACGCTAAAGTAACAACAAAAAACATAGTGAGGATGTAATCAGCAAAATCCAGACTGTGGGAAACTCTGTAAGACAGATGATCCAGTTTCTTCTAACAAAATTGTAAGACAGGGAGGCTCCTCCAAGAGATGGAGGAAGAAGCTATAATTAAAAGACCTGAGGGGCGCCTGGGTGGCTCAGTGGGTTAAAGCTTCTGCCTTTGGCTCAGGTCGTGATCTCAGGGTCCTGGGATCGAGCCCCGCATCAGGATCTCTGCTCAGCGCGGAGCCTGCTTCCCTTCCCCTCTCTCTGCCTGCCTCTCTGCCAACTTGTGATCTCTGTCAAATAAATAAATAAAATCTTAAAAAAAAAAAAAAATCTGAGATGGGGGCGCCTGAGTGGCTCAGTGGGTTAAGCCTCTGCCTTCAGCTCAGGTCCTGATCTTAGGGTCCTGGAATCGAACCCCACATTGGGATCTCCGCTCAGCAGGGAGCCTGCTTCCCCCTCTCTCTCTGCCTGCCTCTCTGCCTACTTGTGATCTCTGTCCAATAAATAAATAAAATTTTTTAAAAAATAAATAAATAAAATCTTAAAAAAAAAAATGACCTGAAACAATCAATTGTAATCTATGGACCTTAACTGAATGTATTTGGACCTTAATTCAAACTCAGTTAAAAAGAAAGAAAAAGACATTTGGGGAAATGTTTTTTAAAAAAAAGTATGTCTCGGTTATTAGGAAATACTCAACAGGGGTGCCTGGGTGGCTCAGTGGGTTAAGCCTCTGCCTTCGGCTCAGGTCATGATCTAAGGGTCCTGGGATCTAATCCTGCACTGAGCTCTATGCGTGGTGGGGAGCCTGCTTCCCCCTCTTTGCCTACTTGTGATCTCTCTCTCTGTCAAATAAATAAATAAAATCTTTTTAAAAAAGGAAATATTCAACAGATTTCTCTGAATTCTGGCTAAAAGTTTATCCCCATCCTTTCAAGCTTAAAAAAAGCTACAAAAAGCCATTGCAGAGAGAAAACAGGTACAAGTTCAACATGTAAATTACAACCCAAAGAGAAAGCACAGACTTACCCACAGCTCCAAACATCAATGGCCGGTGTATAGCGCTCCTCTCCCAGCAGAAGTTCTGGAGGTCGATACCACAAAGTGATGACTTTGTTTGTGTAAGGGCGACTGAAATGTAAAAACAACCATGACATAAATTTACAATGGGTTTTGATGGAAAAAAAAAAAAACTTGTACAAGTAAATGCAAATAGAACTTGAAAAGGGGATTGTCAAAACAGCTCCATAGCAATCTAACAGTTCAAAAGTGAACTGGACAGAAGGTAGGAGATGAAAAAGTAACCTGCATTCCAATTTGGGTTGATTTATTTCAGTCTAAGGCTGATTCAAGAATTTAGACAGAAATGACACATTTAGAAAATAAAGAAACTCTGAAAATTATTGCAACTTGCAGAATATTAGAATATCCAAGAATAAAAAGGATTCTTTTTCACACAGTAATTCCGAGGAATGCCTCACCTCTCTTCAGAGTTATAGAGCCGTGCAAGTCCAAAATCTGCTAGTTTGATTTGCCCACTGTAAAAGAAAAAAAAATCATTTTTACAAAAGTAACAATAGCAGCCTCCTCATTATACCTAAACAGTAAGGCATGAATTTAGGAGTTAAAGGAATTACAACAACGAAATTTTAACCTATGTTCTCTTAGTCCTGTTCTTAATGGTCAGTCACTCTTCCAGATTAAGCCTCTTTTGACTACTTTGGTTTACAAAGCCCTATGGCTTTCTTTTTTGAGTACTACTATGTTTTTGGATTTGACCCTTAAATAAATATTTCTTTTATTTCTTGGCAAATAAGTCACTAAAACCTGCTAGATTAAATGTTTATTATTGGGGAAAAATGTAAAGAACTGTTCTAGATTAAGAGAGATTTAAGAGGCCTAACAACCAAATCCAGTTTATAAACTTTGATCTGATTTGAACAGACCAGCTATCTAAAGGACATTTTAACGTAAGTGAAAAAAACACAAGATATGAACTGAGTGTTAGAAGATAATCAGTAATAATCTTCTGGAGCATTTAGGGTCGAACATAATGATGTCTGTAATTTACTTTAAAATAATTCAAGCAGAAAAATTGAAAGGAAGCAAATATAGTAAAATACTAACTGTACATGTTAATTACTATATTAATGTCTCAATTTTTCCTTGTAATTTATTTTTTCATAATAAAAAGTAAACCACAATAATACCATGGCTATAGATTTTTTCAGAGAACATGACTTTGAACTGAGCACACAATTTTAGGGTGAATGAGGCTCCTTTTACCAACATATTGCCATCACTTCCTATACCATAAAAATATACAACTATAATCTTAGATGGGTTCTCAAAAACTTTAATATGAAATAAGAATCACTTGGAAACCTTATTAAAGGTTTCCTGGGCTTCATTCCCAGAGATGCAATTCAGAAGATCTGGCTCATTTTTCTTTTCTTTTTTTTTTAAAGTAGGCTCCACACCTGGCACAGAGCCCAACATGGGGCTTAATCTCATGACTAAAATCAAGACCTAAGCTAATATCAAGAGTCAGACCCTTAGGGGTGTCTGGGTGCCTCAGTGGGTTAAGCATCTGTCTTTGACTCAGATCATGATCTCAGGGTCCTGGGATCAAGTCCCACATCAGGCTCCCTGCTCAGCACAGAGAGCCTGCTTTTCCTTGTCCCTCTGCTGCTCCCCTTGCTTGTGCTCTCTCACTCTCGCTCTGTCAAATAAATACAAAAATCTTAAAAAAAAAAAAAAAAAAAAGAACTTTATTTAAAAAAAAGAAAGAAAAAGTTGTAGCCATTCAGGTACCCCTGAACTTGCATTTCTTTCTTTCTTTTTTTTTTTTAAGATTTTATTTATTTATTTGGCAGAGAGAGAGAGAGATCACAAGTAGGTAGAAAGGCAGGCAGAGGGAGAGGGGGGAAGCGGGTTCCCTGCTGAGCAGAGAGCCCTATGGGGCTCAATCCCAGGATCCCGAGATCATGACCTGAGCCGAAGGCAGAGGCTTAACCCACTGAACCATCCAGGCGCCCCCCAACTTGCGTTTCTAAGAAGCCGACAGAAGATAATGCCAATGCTGCTGGTCTGAGAACCACTTTTTTTTTTTTTTTTAAAGAGTCTATCTATTTATTTGAGACAGAGAGAGTGAGTGCACAAGCAGGGGGAGTGGCAGGCAGTAGGAGGAGGAGAACCAGACTCCCTGCCCAGCAGAGAGCCCAATACGGGGATCCCAGGACCCAGGGATCAAGAGCCGAGCTGAATGCAGAACTTAACCAACTGAGCCAGCCAGGTATCCCCGAGAACCACACTTTTGAGAACCATGCCCTTAAAGGGATCACACATAAGTTTCACTCTCCTAAGCATTCTTTGACAGTGATGTCAAATAATACTTTAATAAACTATAACATAAAATGTCAGAAAACTTTTTAAACTATTAACTATTCTGGATTAATCATATTTATCTAAATTTTTCACATTTACTGCTTGTGTAACTTCTTGGGTAATGAAAAGCCAGTTCACTCTTTTTAAGATACTAGGGATAGCTGAGATCAGATAGAAAAGTGAAACTGTAGGAAAAAAAAAAAGGGCTATGCTAGGTGCCCCTCAAATTATGAGCAATGGGACAAAATATTAAAAAAAGTAATCTGGGGCACCTGGTGGCTCAGTTCGTTAAGTGTCTGCCGTCAGCTCAGGTCATAATCTCAGGGTCCAGGGACTGAGCCCCACATCGGGCTCCCACTCATCGGAGAGTCTGCTTCTCCCTCCCGCTTTCTCCTCCCCTATGCTCATGTTCTCTCTCTCAAATAAATAAATAAAATCTTAAATAAATAAATATATACATACAAAGTAACTACCGGCTATACAATTTTAAATTAAACCAACCCTTATCATTCCTAGTAAAGATCATTGGGCACCTTATTCACTTGCCCCAAACATCATGTCATTTTTAAGTTCAATTTACAAGCAAATTCAAAGAAAAGCAAAAAGAAAAGGACTAGCTGACTTGACCCCTATAATGAGACATAAAGAGTTCCTCAAATTTCTCAGCATCCTCACTCTTAGAACCTGAGATAATCCAGGCCTGAAAGCACATAGGACTAAAAGTTAAAATGGCAAGAGATACATAGTTACGGAAAGCTAGGCTAGACCTAAACATCACCAAGCACCTAGCGTATTTTGTAATCTACCCTCTTATCTCCAGTAAATGACCTCCTTCATTAAAAAGAGAAGTCTTTGTAGGACATCTGGGTGGCCCAGTCAGTAAAGTATCTGCCTTTGGCTCAGGTCAAGATCCCAGGGTTCTGGGATCTGGCTCCGCAACCCGCAGCAAGCCTGCCTCTCTCTCTCCTCCCCATTCAGGCTCTCTTGCTATCTCTGTCTCTCTCTCAAACAAATAAATAAAGTCTTAAAATTAAAAAAAAAAAAAAAAAAAAAAAAGGAAATTAAAAAAAAAAACCAGAAATCATCAGGTGGGAGCTACTTGACATCCTTTTACCCATATAACCTTAATTGCATCTATAACTTTCCTTTTGGAGGGCCTGGGTGGCTCAGTTAAGTGCATACCCTTGGCTCAGGTGGTGAATTCGGGGTCCTGGGATCAAGCCCAGAGTTGGAGCTCAGCGGGGAGTCAGCTTCTCTCTCTCTCTCCCTCTGTGTTCTCTCTCAAGTAAATAAATAAAATCTTTAAAATATACACATATATAGGGGTGCCTGGGTGGCTCAGTGGGTTAAGCCTCTGCCTTTGGCCTGGGTCATGATCTCAGGGTCCTGGGATGGAGGCCCGCAGCAGGCTCTCTGCTCAGCAGGGAGCCTGTTTTCCCCCTCTCTCTCTGCCTACTTGTGATCTCTCTCTCTAAAATCTTAAAAAAAAGGAGGCTTTATTAAAAAAAAAAAATATATATATATATATACACATATATAACCTTTCTTCTTTCAATTACAGAAAAAGTGTGTCAATTTCTCTTGTTCAAGGATAATCAATACCTATAATTGTGGCCACTACAACCTGTGGCCTTGATTCCATCTCCTCTAGAACTTTGATCCTTTAAATTATTTTTGTTCTTTTTTTAAAAAAATTAATTTTTTGTTCTTTCTTGAATCTTCAATTTCTCCCTACTGATTTTCTTTTCCCTTAGTATTTAAATATGCTCAAACCTCTGTATCCTTAAAAAATACAAAGTAGGGGGGCACCCGGGTGGCTCAGCGGGTTAAAGCCTCTGCCTTCGGCTCAGGTCATGATCCCAGGGTCCTGGAATCAAGCCCCACATCGGGCTCACTGCTCGGCAGGGAGCCTGCTTCCTCCTCTCTCTCTGCCTGCCTCTCTGCCTATTGGTCATCTCTGTCTGTCAAATAAATAAATAAAATCTTTAAAAAAAAAAAAAAAGAAAGTAGGGCGCCTAGGTGGCTCAGTCATTAAGCGTCTGCCTTCAGCTCAGGTCATGATCCCAGGGTCCTGGGATGGAGGCCCACACCAGGTTCCCTACTCAGCAAGAAGCCTGCTTCTCCCTTGCCCTCTCCCCCTGCTTGTGTTCCCTCTCTCACTCTGTCAAATAAATGCATGTACACTTTTAAATAAATAAATAAATAGTAAAACTTAAAGACACACCTACCATCACCTTCCCATTAACTGTGCTACCCACTAACTTACCACACAGTGTCAATGCTGACCTTTTAATTTTCAGATTCCTTCTCTGGTTTTATCATCTGGCTGCATCACCTGATATATATGACCATCCCTTCTTAAACCTTTTTTTTTTTTTAAAGATTTATTTATTTGACACAGAGAGAAAGAGTGAGAGTGAGTGTGACGGGGAGCAAAGGGAGAGAATCTCAACCAGACTCTGCACTGAGTGCCACTGGAGCGAGACACTGGGCTCCATCTCAGGATCCTGAAATCCTGACATGAGCCAAAACCAAGAGTCAGATGCTCAACCAACTAAGTCACCCAGGTGCTCCTAAACCTGCCTATTTTAGTATTTAAATATGATATTCCTCATTTTCATTATATTTCCTCATTTTCCCTGTATCTTTCTGACCATTCCCTTAGGTTCCATCTTCTGACACTTTTTCTCTGCTGTAACTCCTAAACTATACTGCTAGTCTGGAACTTCAATGTGACCATATGTCTATGAGATATCACTACCCTGGATATGCAACAGCCATATCCAAAAGGGATTTACTCTTCACTCACCTGTCCTGCCTTTCCTTTTACATTACCTATATTGATCATTATGCCACCCATCTAGTTATTTTCTTTTTTTTTTTTTTTAAAGATGTTATTTATTTATTTGACAGAGAGAGATCACAAGTAGACAGAGAGGCAGGCAGAGAGAGAGAGAGAGAGAGAGAGAGAGAGAGAGAGAGAAGCAGGCCCCCTGCTGAGCAGAGAGCCCGATGCGGGACTCGATCCCAGGACCCTGAGATCATGACCTGAGCCGAAGGCAGCAGCTCAACCCACTGAGCCACCCAGGCGCCCCTAGTTATTTTCTTAAGTCAGAAATCTGTGAGTTCTATTAAAGTACTCTCATTCATTTTCTACCACTCATTTACTCACCAAAGTCTATTGATCCACAAAGTTGATCCTGTCCATCTCTATTAGAAAGGCCTTGGTTAGTTGAAACACTGACAATTTCGTATCATATTCTTAATATGTCTCCCTGCCTCTAGTATATACCATATTAGAATGACCATTTAGTGATTTTTCTAAAAGAGAGACTAACTGTGTCTCTCCACCACCTAAAATGACTTGGTCTCATTTATATTTGTGTAAGGAAGATATAATGAACATCATGGAGCCCAGCTCTGCTTTCCTCCCTCTCTCATCAACTGCCTTCACTTCCTTGTCCAGGTGAGGGCTCCTTACCATTTTCTCCAGGTCATCTCACCCCAAATTCTCTATGTAAACAGAGCCAAATGGGCAAGAGCAAAGGCTGAATGGATCAGATTAGATCACAAGACTCCTGCATCCTGCTTAGCAACCTGAAGAGGAAGTTCAGTTTAGTCTAGAATCTCATCAGCTTCCTGAATATGGGAAGACAGGGAGGGGGCCTGACCTAACAGAAAGGTCACCAAACAGGACTGCAGTTTATTCCCTGACCTGAGACATCCCCCTTAGAGAAGCAAAAGGAACCAAGACAAGTATATGCTATAGTCCAGAATGCTGCAAAGTGATAGCCATCATTAAGTTCTTGAAGCAATATTACTATGGATGTAGATTAACCAAATCCAGCTCTAATGAAAATTGTGGGTACAGAGATACTGACAGGATAATCTTTTACCATCATGTTTTGTCTCACAAAGTATTTTAAGTATGACAATATATAATAATTATATATATCATAGAAAATAATTTAAAATAATGCATTAACTGTATAATTTTAAAATACAAATTAACTGTATAATTTATTTTTTGAGAGCATGAACAAGCAAGCAGGGAGAAGGCCAGAGGGAGAGAATCTCAAGCTGACTCTACCTTGAGCACAGAGCTGGATACAGGGCTCGATCTCACCACCCTGAGATCATGACCTGAGCTGAAATCAAGAGTTGGATCCCCAACTGACTGAAACACCCAGGCGCCCCTAAGTGTATAATTTAAAAACAAAAAACGAACCAAACCAGCACCACTCAATGGCTTTCACCTACAGACAGTGTAAGTTCCTTAGCAAGATATACAAGATCCTTAAACTGGCTCCTTGCAACTATCCAGCTTCACCTCGTCATTATGTGCTTCACTTTTCTTGCTCTAGTAATATTTACCTATTTACATTTTTCCCAAACACTACACGTTAATTTTCTTATTTATGTGATTTTGCCCATGTAATTTCTTTTACTTAGAAATTTAACCCTCTGTTGTATGTCTTTCTGATAAATTCTGATTTACTCATCAAAATTGCATCTTCCCAGATGCTCCCAAATTCAAGGAAAAAAAAAAAAAAAGGTAGGGATGGGTGGGGCTTAGGGGCACTTGGCTGGCTCAGTGGGTAAAGATGCAACTCTTGATCTTGGGGTTGAGACATTACTTAATTAGACATCACATGTGTGTGTGTGGGGAGGAGTCTTAATAAATATTTACTGGATTGAGTGATTTATTTGTTAGCTCCCCTATTAAACTCTAAGCTTTCTAGGGACCAACTATCCCATGTGGGACCTCCAGTGCTAAAACTAGGACAGGGCTACCCAGCTGGCTAAACTGGTCGAGCATGTAACTTAATCCTGGGGTCCTGGGTTCAAGCCTCACACTGGGTGTTGAGGTTACTTAAAAATAAAAAATCTGGGGTGCCTGCGTGGCTTAGTAATTGAGCAGCTGCCTTCGGCTCAGGTCGTGATCCTAGGGTCCTGGAACTGAGTCCCACATCGGGCTCCCGGCTCAGCAGGAAGCCTGCTTCTCCCTCTCCCACTCCTCCTGCTTGTGTTCCCCCTCTCGGTGTGTCTCTGTCAAATAAATAGATGAAATCTTAAAAAAATAAAAAATAAATCTTGGGATGCCTGGGTAGCTCAGAGGGTTAAGCCTCTGCCTTCAGCTCAGGTCATGGTTTCAGGGTCCTGGGATCAAACCCCGCATCAGGCTCTCTGCTCAGCAGGGAGCCTGCTTCCCCTGTCTCTGCCTGCTGCGCTGCCTTGTGATCTCTCTCTCTCTGCGTCAAATAAACAAATAAAATCTTTCTAAAAAAAATTTTTTTAAATAAATAAATAAATAATCTCTAGGGGCACCTGGGTGGCTCAGTTAAGTACAAGACTCTTGATTTCAGCTCACAGCCTGATCTCAGTGTGTGAGATTAAACCCGTATTGGGCTCAGCGCTGGCAATGGAGCCTGCTTGAGATTCTCTCTCTGCTCCTCCCTCTTCCTGGTTGCCTGCTCTCTTAAAACAAAACAAAACAAAACAAAACTTAAATAAGTAGAACCAAGACAGTGCCTGGGCAACTCTGTGTAGTTGGTTGTATCACTCCCCAAAGATGAGAAATAAGTCATAATCATTCTATAACTCTATACAGATAGTAGTATTTGTTAAATATAACTGAACGGAAATGTATTTAAAAAATGGGTGAATCAGACAAAGATGGCTATAAACAGCCCAGTTACCTAAAGAACCAAACACTGGTATAACTTCAATAGTATCAGACTTAGGAGTAAGTGCTTGGCAGAAAGGTCAACCACCAGCTACACCTGTGTTTACTCTGAAATTTGATAACAGAGAAAGTCTCAAGAACAGCTGTAAGAGCAGGCATGTTTCTCCCCACTTAAACAAGAGAGAATTTCACTGAGAACTCAACGTGTGTTTTAATTTGCCAAGAACCACAATAATATTTACTAACTATGGCAAAAAGCTCTCTGAATATTCCTGAAGGATGTGTGATTTCATAAAATGTTTGCAATTAAAAAACCTTTACAATCCTACCTTTCTTAATTCCTTACCAACAACAAGTCTCAAGACTCTGCTCCTAAGAATAACCCTATCGTAAGATGTTCCTATAGTACAATCATCAGATGTATGTAAATGCAAAAAACTGCATCATTGGGTCTACCTGTAACCCCAACTAACCAGCTGGGTCAGAAGAGAGGGAGAAAATGGTTAACCTTATTTGGTTACTACATTACCTGTTGTTCAGCAAAATGTTAGAACACTTAATATCCCGATGCAGGAAATTCTTTTTGTGACAGTAATCCAATCCTTCCATTAGCTGTTTCATGAATGACTTGATATGGTCCTCAGAAAAATGTACCAAACCAGATTCTAGCAGTCCCATTAAGTCATGGTCCATATACTCAAATACAAGGTAAAAGGCACCTATATAAAAATGAAAAAGAAAATTAAAAACAAGAGGAAAAGGACACTGAAATAACAATGCCTCAAATTTTAATATAATTTTGGAGTGTACCATAAGGCTCTCTGAAACAACCACTTAATTTTATAAATGAAGAAACTCAGAGAACTTAAATAACTTGCCCTTTCTAATAACAAATAACAGAAATACTATTTTATTAAATCTTCTGACTTTTAACCCAATGCTCTTTGATCTATTTACTTGAGGAGAACAACTGCCCTGATCAAGCTGATACTACTAGTCTTCTACGATCTAAGTCAGTTGGCAAATTACAGGCCTTTGGCCAAATCTAGGCTTCTGTTTGTCACTGTAAAATAAAGTTTTATTTGTTATAACTATGCCCATTTGTTACTATGCCAATATTGTCTATGGCTACTTCTGTTTAAGTCTTTACCTCAGTTATATTTAATAGGACTCACATAATATGTCAGGGATAGCACAGTATATACAGTATAAATTACTGGTGAAATTCATAATATTTAAGAACTGAGTGGTGCCTGGGTGGCTCAGTGGGTTAAAGCCTCTGCCTTTGGCTTAGGTCATGATCCCAGGGTCCTGGGATCAAGCCCTGCATCGGGCTATCAAGCTCCATATTGGCTATCGAGCCCCGCATCGGGCTTTCTGCTCAGCGGGGAGCCTACTTCCTCCTCCTCTCTCTGCCTGCTTCTCTGCCTGCATGTGATCTCTGTCTGTCAAATAAATAAATAAAATCTTAAAAAAAAAAAAAAAAGAGAAAGAATTGAAAGAAAGGTGAACCTTCTAATTAAACTCCTTAAATTTAGAAGTAGATAAAAGGGGTGCCTGGGTGGCTCAGTTGGTTAAGCAACTGCCTTTGGCTCAGGTCATGATCCTGGAATCCTGGGATCGAGTCCCACATCAGGCTCCCAGCTCCATGGGGAGTCTGCTTCTCCCTCTGACCTTCTTCCCTCTCATACTCTCTCTCTCACTCTCTTTCTCAAATAAGTAAAATCTGTATTAAAAAAAAAAAGTAGATAAAAGGATAATTATGCTAAGAGAATTGTAAAAAATCTGAAATCCATGCTGTCTTTCCACTTTAGCAGGGTATATGACAAAGACAAATATTGTGACATAAGCAGTTTTAAACCTAGGTTAGACAATTATCTATCCAGTCTAAAATTCTGTCTCCTACCAGCATAAGGGCAAGGATTCTTAATCTAGAGTAGGCTTCAAGGATTCTTTGAACTCCCTGAAAGAGTATGCAATATTTTAAACACATAATATGCAACATTTTGAACTTATTTTTTTAAAGTATGGATCCGTAAGATGTTTAAAGAGGTCCATAACCCCCCAAAACTTAAGAAACACTGCATTAAAGGAATATCTTAGATTTAGTCAGGAGCTCATACAAACTAATAAGAAAAACACCCAAATGCAAAAGATAAGTAGATACAGGACACAAAAGGACAACTCAGAGAAGAGACAATAAGTGAAGCTGATAAACATGGAAACATGTTTAACATGTTTAAGCTGATAAACATGATAAACATGGAAAAGAACTCAGAAGTAACAGAAGGAATGTAATCCAAAATAATGACATCATACTCCACCTATCAAAATGACAATTTACTTTTTTTATTATATTTTATCTTTTGAAAGATTTTATTTATTCATTTGATAGAGGGAGAGAGCACAAGTAGGGGAGCAGCAGCAGAAGAGGGAAAAGCAGGCTCCCCGCTGAGCAGGGAGCCCAACGCAGGGCTTGATCCCAGGACCCTGGGATCATGACCTGAGCCAAAGACAGACGCTTAACTGACCAAGCCACCCAGGCACCTCTGAAATGACAATTTTTTAAAAAGATGTACTCAATCTTAGGGAGGATAAAGTGGAATGGGCACTCACAGGTGGGCATATATACTTACTATCTTAAAAGCAATCTAATATTAAATCCATTCCGCCAAATAATTCTAAGAACCTATATTAATAAATCAAAACACAAAGATTTATGACCAAAAATGTTCAATGCAGAACTATTACATTTTTTAAACTAGTAACTAATTGGGGCGTCTGGCTGGCTCAGTCGCTAGAACATGTCACTCTTGACCTTGGTGTCATGAGTTCAAGCCCCACACTGGGCATAGAGCTTGCTTAAAAAAAAGTAATAATAACGCCAGGGTGGCTCAGTTAAGCGTCTGTCTCTTGATTTTGGCTCAGATCATGACCTCAGGTCATGAGACTGAGCCCTGAGTTGGGCTCCATGCTCAGCAAGGAGTCTGCTTGACATAAAGAATCTCTCTGCCTCTCCCTCTATCTCTCCCACCACTCACGCAAATATACTCTCTCACTAAAAATAAATCTGGGGGGTGGTGCGTGGGTGGCTCAGTGGGTTAAGCTTCTGCCTTCAGCTCAGATCATGATCTCAGGGTCCTGGGATCAAGCCCCGCATGGTGGGGGGGTGTCTCTGCTCAGCAGGGAACCTGCTTCCCTCTCTCTGCCTGCCTCCCTGCCTACTTGTGATCTCTCTCGCTCTGTCAAATAAATAAATAAAATCTTTTAAAAAATCAATCAATCAATCAATCTTGGGGCACCTGGGTGGCTCAGTCGGTTAAGCCTCTGCCTTCGGCTGAGGTCATGGTCTCAGGGTCCTGGGATCGAGCTCCTCTGCTCAGCAGGGAGCCTGCTTCCCCCTCTCTCTGCCTGCCTCTCTGCCTACTTGTGATTTTGCTGTCAAATAAAATCTTAAAAAAATTAATAAACAAATAAATAAATCTTTAAAAAATAATAATAAATTGGGGCACCTGGGTGGCTCAGTGGGTTGGGGCCTCTGCCTTTGGCTCGGGTCATGATCTCGGGGTCCTGGGATCGAGCCCCGCATCGGGCTCTCTGCTCAACAGGAAGCCTGCTTCCCCCCGCCCCCTGCCTGCCTCTCTGCTACTTGTGAACTCTGTCAAATAAATAAATAAAGTCTTTAAAAAAATAAAAAATAAACATAAAAAATAATAAATAATAAATAAAATAAATGGGCAACTAACTGCTCAAGAGAGACTGATGAAGTAAATGTAGATTCATCTAGCCTTATGCAGTCATTAAAGCACATTAATGACATGGGAAATGACTTACAACCAGTTACAAAACATTAAATATACTTTGATCTCAGTTATGCTAAAATAAATATAACATATTTAGAGTACTTAGAAAGAAATACATCAAAATGCTAATACTATAGTGGTTTTCTATGGATGGTGGTAGACTGGGATGGAGTAGGAGAGAAATGATTGCCATTTTCTTTTTCTTACCCTTCCACATTTTTAATTTTACCACAATGTTTATGCATCACATCCATTTATTCACTTTTATTATTTTATGATTTTTTAAAAAAGAATTTAAACAGTACACGGTAAACTATTTAAACAGTATAGAACAGCAAAGGAAAATTAAACTCCACTCCAGAAGAAACCAATTAACATATTCTTGTTTATCTTTAGAGAAACTACCTACAGATTTTACTATTCTTATAATCAGAAGTTAAGACACACCCAGTCTACCAGAATACCAGTATTCTTAATTCTATTCTGGTCTAACATCCATAAATTTATCTAACTACTGTTATATAAGCAGAATTTCTTTTCATTTCCTTACAACTACTTCTACCATTTAATAAAATTAAAAACAAACAAAAACTACTTCTACCAAACTAGAGAAGTGCTACTCTCCTAGTGCTAATATCTCTAAGGGTTTATAAGTAAACCCAGCTTAACTTTACCTATTACCTCCCTAATTTTATGTACTTCAATTGTGTTCTCTCTTAACATTCCAGACTATATTCACAGATGTCATTTCTTCATAAAAGAAATCTTCAGATTTGCCTTAATAAAAGTAGGTTGAATGACATATATAGACTATTTCAAGCATAAGTATCAATGAACAATTTTATCCCCCAAAGAGGCAAAAGTTACAAATCCAGGAAAACAAACCAGTATGTGATCTGAAGATTATTTTAGAAATATCTGCTTTGAATTCTAGACTGTGTAAGTGCAAAACCATGTAAAAATATGGATGCATTATAAAAAATAACCAGAAGGGATGATGTAAAAATGAGAGCAACTGTGGGCACCTGGGTGATAGTCGGTTAAGTATTCGACACCTGATCTTAGCTCAGGTCTTGATCTCAGGGTCATGAGTTCAAGGCCCATGCTGGGCTCCATGCTGGACATGGAGCCTACTTAAAAAAAAAAAAGAGAGGGGCACCTGGGTGGCTCAGTGGGTGAAGGCCTCTGCCTTCGGCTCAGGTCATGATCCCAGGGTCCTGGGATAGAGCCCCACATAGGGCTCTCTGCTCGGCAGGGAGCCTGCTTCCCCCTCTCTCTCTGCCTGCCTCTCTGCCTACTTGTGATCTCTGTCAAATAAATAAATAAAATCTTAAAAAAAAAAAAAAAAAAAAGAGGGACGCCTGGGTGGCTCAGTTGGTTGGACGACTGCCTTTGGCTCAGGTCATGATCCCGGAGTCCCGGGATCAAGTCCCGCATCGGGCTCCCAGCTCCATGGGGAGTCCGCTTCTCCCTCTGACCTTCTCCTCGCTCATGCTCTCTCTCACTGCCTCTCTCTCTCAAATAAATAAATAAAATCTTAAAAAAAAAAAAAAAGAGTAACTGATAAAGCTGGGTTTAATTTCCATTACTATTATTATAATTTGTTAAAAAAAAAGAGAGAGAGAGAGACTTCAAAACTAACATCTTCACTCCAGTATGGATTCAAGAAGTTGGTCAAACAGGCAAACAAGCTAAGAGAAAAAAATAAGATGTACCAATCTACCCTGTAGAAATATGATTCCTTGCTAGTACCTTTGTCCTTCTTGAAATCCAGTGCATCCTGTTTATCCGTAACAATTTCCTTCATGTTAACAACACTTCGGTGGATTAGCTGACGAAGGATTTTGATCTCACGAATGGCTGTGATTGGGAAGCCCTCCTTCTCATTGTCCAGTCTCACCTTTTTCAGGGCCACTAGCTCTCCTGTTACAACAAATTCAAACTATTACATTATCAATTAGCATTTTTTGGCCAGCAAATATATGCCCAGAGTTGCTCTGACAGATTTAGCTTACTTTAATGCTATATACCAGATACTTTTATACCTCAAAAAACAAAACCAAACCCCATGTTTCCTTTCTTGCCTTTTTTTTTAAAGACTTGTATTTCTTAATTCAGTATTCAGCTAGACCTAAAAATTTTGAATTATTAAAATATGCCAAAAATTCAACTACTTCATTTTATCTTTAAGGACTAACCCCTACCAAAGAGCAACCTATAAATTTTATTTCCACTCTCTTAAATTCCCAGCAAGCTTATTATAAAATATTAACAATGAACAAGAGATAAAGAGGAAGGTTTTTAAACAGTAATAATAATACGATTCTTTCGGAAAATTTTAGTCTTTTAGTAACTTTTGGAAACCAAATTAGAACTCGAAATTTACTTTTGCTAAGTCTACTACATTAGTACTGCAAAATTTTTAAACTTCTGACATCTAGAATTTTGTGGCAATATTTACCTGTGTCTTTGTCCTTGGCTTTATATACTTGGCCATAGGTTCCCTCTCCAATAATCCCAATAATGTCGAACTTATCTACACAGCGTTTTCCCCAGTCACTTTCTGTTTGTCTTCTTTCTCCATAACGAGGACAACAAATTCTAAAAAAAAGGCAAAAAAAAAAAAAAAAAAGGAGCCCCCCCAAGACAAACCAAATAAAATTATTTTAAAAACTTAAGTCTATTCAAAGAAGAAAACAGAATTCTTTTATGATGATTCTCTGACTCATGAATCTTGTATGAATTTCTTTATTAAAAAGGCAGGAATCAAATGATATGAAATAAATGGTCTCTCACAGTGGCTAAGACAGATTTTTGCTTCAGGAAGGCATAAGATCAAATAATAGATGTGCTGCTTAATTTCTTATCTACTGAATGGGAAAAGAATTCCTACATCATAGGGCTACTATGTGTAAGCCTGATGATTCACAGACTTGTACCCCTGGGGCAAATACTACATTATACGTTAATAAAAAAATTTTTTAGGGGCGCCTGGGTGGCTCAGTGGGTTAAAGCCTCTGCCTTCGGCTCGGGTCATGGTCCCAGGGTCTTGGGATCGAGCCCCACATCCAGCTCTCCACTCAGCGGGGAGCCTGTTTCCTCCTCTCTCTCTCTGCCTGCCTCTCTACCTACTTGTGATCTCTGTCTGTCAAATAAATAAATAAAATCTTTAAAAAAAAATTTTTTTTTTAAAGAATAAAAAATACATATAAAACTTTGGCAATAATATGTACTTGATAAATGGTAATTATTTTTATTATTAAGAGAGGAATGCTGGGATGCCTGGCTGGCTTAATCTCAGGATCGTGAGTTTCAGCCCCACAGTGGGTGTGGTGTCTAGTTTTTTAAAAAAAGAGGAAAGCTAACAATCAAAAGATCTGAGCTAAAATCAAACCCAGATTCTATTACATTTATGGAATGGCAATTTATGTGGTTTAAGAAAAAAACATCCCACATCTATTAATTTTTTATTTATGTGTATACGGTTGATATACCCTGAATAAAAGAGCTGTCTTACTTTTTAATATTCTAAGTATCAAACTCAAAAGACACATGGGATCAATGTTCATGGTATACCTGGATTTGAGAAATCGTTGTTTTTCTAAAAACACTAGGTATCTGAGGGTGCAGATGAACAGGTCTCCCAGAAAGGCTTTTATCCATTAATATAAAATATACACATTAGGGGGAGCGCCTGGGTGGCTCAGTGGGTTAAGCATCTGCCTTCAGCTCAGGTCATGATCCCAGGGTCCTGGGATCAAGCCCCACATCGGACTCTCTGCTCAGCGGGGAACTTGCTTCCCCCCCACTCTCTGCCTGCCTCTCTGCCTACTTGTCATCTCTCTCTCTCTCTCTCTGTCAAATAAATAAAATCTTTAAAAATTTATCTATACACATTAGGCCCAATTCTATATAATCCTACTGGTGTAGCTTGTGGAAGAAAGTATGAGATCTAGACCCAAAAGGAAGAAGGAAGCTATAATTAAGAATAGGTCCCTCCAGGGGCACCTGGGTGGCTCAGTTGGTTAAGGGTCAGATTCTGTTTCAGCTCAAGTCATGATCTCACGTCGTGGAGCCCCAAGTCAGGTTCCACACTCAGTGCAGAGTCTACTGGAGGTTCTCTTCCTCTCCTTCTCCCTCTGCCACCCCTACCCCCGTTCATTCTCTCTAAAATAAAATAAAATAAAATACCCTCTAAAAACTCACTTTGGTCTCTTTTTATATGGTTGCTGAGGTGGTGTAACTGCCTTTGGTTCTGGAGAGTCTGGGGGAGATGGATCCCCACCAGGAAGTTCTGGAGGGAGAGGGAGGTCCGTGAGTAAGTGACGTGGCCTTTGTTCCTTCTCCTTCTTTACAGGTTTTGAAGGTGGAATTTCTTTTGGACTAAACAAAAGAGGAAAAGAAGAAAAAGATCATAATTACTTAAAAATTTGAAAATAAAACTTTTTAAAGCTTATAATGTCTGGCTATTAAAAAGATTATAAAGATTTTATTTAAAGGGATAAAACCCTGTAATGTAACATAAGGAGATGGAGTTTATCACAGTCAAAAATACTTGGATTTCACAAAAAGAAATCCATAGGACATAAAACAATAAAAAATTTGGGATATTACTTGTACGTCCTATGACAAACTTTTTAATGTTTTTCTTAAGATTCTATTGGAGTTTTACTGAGATGAAATAAAATACAGGAAGTAATTATCTTGAATTTCCAAAGTACCACTGCAAGTCATGGAGTCACCAAACCTACTCCATGTATTTTAACCAGCATAAGGAATCAAAGTTCAACAATGTTGGGGTGCCTGAGTGGCTCAGACATTAAGCGTCTGCCTTTGGCTCAGGTCATGATCCCAGATGTCAGGCTTCCTGCTTAGGAAGCAGGAAGCTTCTCCCTCTCCCACTCCCCTTGCCTGCGTTCCCTCTCTCACTGTGTCTCTCTCTGTCAAATAATAAATAAAATCTTAAAAAAAAAAAAAAGGAAATGCAATGGTTTCCCACATTTCCAAGGCAATTTAAAAAAATAAATAGATAGATAGATGAAATAAAAATCTAAGTCAAGAGTCCAGCAAACTATTTCAGAATCATTAAAGCAGCTGGTAGCAGGCCTCTTATGAAAATCAACAAAATGGTGGGGGTGAGGGGGTGGGAAGAAAGGATGTCTTTTCTGAAAAACAGTAGTAAAGTCAGTGCTCAGATCCAATTTTTTAAGCATCTCAACTTATTTATAAAAAGTGATTTTGTGCTATGCATGTCCTCAAAAGATAACATACTAATGCATGCCTACAAATAAAACCATGCTACATAATAAGTCTTTTCTAGTCTATCACAGTATCAGAAGCTTGAAAACAAGCTGAGAATCCTCCTAACCACAGAAGGCATTTCCTCCACATTTTTTTACAAGTGGTTATAAAAACATGTATTCTGTCATGAATACTTCTATAGAACCATAAAGATCCATCCACTGCAATGTTTCTTATTAAAGATTGCACATGAAAACAGTTGCAAAAAGTATAACTTTCTACCAACTTTCATCATTTTAATCTCTTGTATATTAGGCAGAATAGAATCTAGATTAGTTTGTGCATATCATCCAGAACTAGAGTAGTCAACTGAGTTCAAAAGGATCATCTGAAACTTTTTGTTCAGTTAATGACAGAGATGAATACAAAACATTATTACAATCTGCACGGAAGATTTTTCTACCCTGGGAACAAAGCCTGTTCCAGAAAACCTCCAGGCAGGACACAATATAGATTTTTAAAATTTCCCCAATTTTTAAGACATTCAGGGAATGAAAATTCCTAATTTTGCAACTACTAATATCAGAATACTCTTTATAAATTTTAATTCTTCATGCTTCAGAAATAGAATACTTCTTGGTTATGCTTCACTAGAACTGAAATATCTGAATTTTCTCACCATCACTTCATGTAAGTTCAGTCTATGTTTTATATTTAGATCTTGTTTTCTCCAAGGTTGGTTTTACAAGTTCATGTTCAGTTTGCTACTGTGAAAATGTATACTGCTTCTGAAAAATTACATGTTTAGCATGTTTATTTCATAAAGCATGAGTATTTGCTATGTACTACCAGTTTAGAGCATATAAACTGAATACAGGTCAAATCCTATTTCAACAAATTTCAATGTACCAAACATCGTGGAATAATGATGACTCATAAAATTGCAATGCTTAACATTACGGCCTTTAGCCTTCGGTATACGGCACTCAGTAAAACACAGCTCTATACAGTGCTGAGGACATGTGGTACAGAGGTGATCTAACACTGGAGAGCAGATATTGAACATCTAAGTCATTACTATGAGGATTCAGTACCAAGAAGAGCTGATCTTGCCAATGTCAGTATTTCCTGGTTCCCCATTTATGTCTGTAGTTCGGTTCACATATGGTGAGTAGTTGCATAAATGCTCATGTATAATAATTTTCTTTCAAAAAAAGTTGCCAAGCTCCACAACTGCTCAAATTTTAAAATCTGTATAGTCTCTTCAAATTTATGATTATGGGATTTAATCTGTACTATAGTATCATACCACTACTAAGTCTTTATTGTTAATAAAGAATACGAATTTACATAACAACTATTTAAAAAGACTGATTTCCTAATATTTTTCACAATAGCATAAACAACTTTAAATACAATCATTTACCCTTTTCCCCTTAAAGCAGGTTGTTTAAAAAGTGATTTACTTTTACAAACTTCTATTAAAAATTTGAGTTGCTGGGGTATCTGGGTGGCTCAGTGGGTTAAAGCCTCTGCCTTCTGCCTGCTTCCTCCTCTCTCTCTCTCTCTCTCTCTCTCTCTGCCTGCCTCTCTGCCAACTTGTGATCTCTGTCAAATAAATAATCTTAAAAAAAAATAAAAATTTGAGTTGTATACATTAAAAATGAGAACGAAGCATTCCATTCGCAAAATTCTAAATCAAATCTGAATGGTCACACAGATCCTTTCTCTTCTACAAGAGCACAATACTTTAAAGTCCTTTTTTTTTTTTTTTTTTTTTTTTAATTTATTTGACAGAGATAGAGAGCACAAGCAAGGGGATCAGCAGGCAGAGGGAGAGGGAGAAGCAGGCTCCCGGCTGAGCAGCGAGCACGACTCGGGGCTCGATCCCACAACCCTGGGATCATGACCTGAGCTGATGGCAGACGCTTAACCAACTGAGCCACCCAGGTGCCCCAAGATAAAGCCTTAAAGAATAATATAGACTCTACTAAGTCTGATAAACTCCAAATGAACCAAACCACAAAAAAATGGATCAGAAATGAAGATTTTATTTATTTCTTTTTTAAGTAAGCCCTACACCCAAAGTGTGCCTTGAACTCACAACCCTGAAATCAGGAGTTGCACCCTCTACCAACTGGGCCAGGCAGGTGCCCTGAAAACAAAGATTTTAAAAACCTTGTGTGGTTAACTGAAATTTTATTTTATTTATCTGAAGTAGGCTCCATGCCCAATGTGGACTTGAACTCACGACCCCGAAATTGAGAGATTAAGAGTTGCATGGTTTACTGACTGAGCCAGCCAAGAGCCACAGTTAACTGAAATTTTAAGAGAGAGTATACAGGGGCGCCTGGGTGGCTCAGTCGTTAAGCATCTGCCTTCAGCTCAAGTCATGATCCCAGGGTCCTGGAATCTACCCCACAATGGGCTCTCTGCTCAGCAGGAAGCCTGCTTCTCCCTGTCCCACTCCCCCTGCTTGTGTTCCCTCTCTGTCTGTCAAATAAATAAATAAAATCTAAAATTTAAAAAAAAAAAAAGAATACACAGATGATCTCCTTAAGAGCAGGCGATCCCTAGGGCATCTGGGTGGCTCAGTGGCTTAAGCATCTGACTTTGGATCAGGTCATGATCTCAGGGGTTCTGGGGTACACAGCCCTGCTCAGTGGGGAGTCTGTTTGTCCCTCTACCTCTGACCCTCCTGCCACTCTTTCTCTCTCAAATAAATAAATAAAATCTTAAAAAAAAAAAAAGCAGGTGATCCCGATGAATAGCTATGTTCATGATAAATGTACTATATTATGAAGAATGGATAGTTTAGCAGCCTTTATTTCTTGAAACAAAGAACTGCAGACCATGAATTAGAAAGGCTCTGGCAAGACCATTAGTTAAATCCACTCCTGCATTTGATACCTGGATTAATACACTCCGGGCCCTATAGATATGTTTGAAAGAAAAGTTTCAATCTATTCCTAAAGGGACTTTAAAAGAAGACAAATCCTGATACAAGCTTTACATCATCCATGTGCCGAGCGAATTAACTACACTCCCAGTGTCATCCACATAAGTCCTGAGCCTGTCTTTTTCAGTAGTCTTATTCATTAAATAAGCAATATTTACTGATCACATTCTGTGATCTATGTTCAAAGCACTGTATACAACAAAAAGATCTATAAATCAGTCTTAAAAATTAAGCTGCTGCAACCTCACATAAGATGATCAAGAATATAAATGAGGGGCGCCTGGGTGGCTCAGTGGGTTAAAGCCTCTGCCTTCGGCTCAGGTCATGATCCCAGAGTCCTGGGATCGAGCCCTGCATTAGGCTGTCTGCTCAGCAGGGAGCCTGCTTCCTCCTCTCTCTGCCTGCCTCTCTGCCTACTTGTAATCTCGATCTGTGAAATAAATAAATAAAATCTTAAAAAAAAAAAAAATATATATATATATGAATTCCACGTGCAACTTTCAGATTTCTTCCTGAAAACTTTTCTGACATAAAAATTATTTTTCATGTAAAAACAGGTGCAGCTGGTATGATACAGGGGTACTGTGGCACCACAAAAAAAAAAAATTTTTTAAAGACAAAAACAAAAACCATCCTGAATTTAAAACACATAGTGAAAAAATAATATTGACTGTGGAAGATATCTTCATTTCTATTTTTCTACCTTTAATAATTTATTTATATTTATATGGAAAACTAATAATAATCATACATTTAAAAATTACTACATTGGTACTCACTTGAGCAGCATATATACTAAAACCGAACAATACAGAGAAGATTAGCATGGCTCCTGTGTGAGGAGGACAAGGAAATTTGTGAAGCATTCAATATTTTTAAAATATTAAAATTTTGCAGACAAGATCCTTTACTTTTGATCCTCATCTTAAGTCCCATTCACAGAGATAACCATTATTATTAGCTTAAAGAAATCTTTCTGGACCTTTTGGTGTGAATTTATATGGATATATATGGATCTATGTCTCCACAGAAACTAGATGTTTTGTTTTTATTGTGTATGAGCTTTTACATAATTAACATACTATTAAAAATTAAGTACATTGGACTATGAGTTATACTTTGACAATCAGAACTGATAATATAACAAAAAATACTTCTGTTCACTTCATTCTCTCATACACTTTTTTTTTTTTTTAAAGATTTATTTATTTGAGAGAGAGAGAGAAAGCATGGAGGGGTGGTCAGAGAGAGAAGCAGACTCCCCACTTAGCAGGGAGCCCGATGTGGGACTCGATCCCAGGACCCTGAAATCATGACCTGAGCCGAAGGCAGCGGCTTAACCCACTGAGCCACCCAGGCGCCCCTTACTTTACCTTTCATCCCAACCTAAAAGATAGAAATTCCTATGTTTCCTATGTGCCTATCAAAACTATTACACCTCTGGAAATCTGCACTCTATATTGACACAAGGTAGATAAGTTCAATAATTATTTGTTTAGCCAAGTAAACATTTCAAAATGAAGATTCTCAGCCACACTGAAACTATTCTAGCCACTAGGCAAACTAATATTTAAACAGGGTTCCTATAGACAGATCATGGCCCAGAGTCCTATTGGATAATGCTCATCTGATATTTCCTTTTCCAACAAAACCCACAGAAACATGTAGTTTGTATCTGTGAGAAGTATACTGTATACCTAAACAGGTTTTTTTTACATAAATTTCAGGTTTTATCCTTCTCCTTTGTAAATCTTAGGATATGGCAGAACTGACAATTATTAATATTAGAAAGAACAGGTAGAATTTTTCTTTAAAATAAGATTTACCACTATGAATAGTAATGGACTCATTCTTAAAAAATTTTTTTAATTGCATTTACACCTTCTTAAAAGGCACAGAGCAGGGGCGTCTGGGTGGCTCAGTGGGTTAAGCCTCTGCCTTCGGCTCGAGTCATGGTCCCAGGGTCCTGGGATCGAGTCCCACATAGGGCTCCTTGCTCAGTGGGAGCCTGCTTCTCCGTCTGCCTCTGCCTGCCACTCTGTCTGCCTGTGCTCACTCTGACAAATAAATAAATAAAACCTTAAAAAAAAAAAAAAGGCACAGAGTATAGTCCGGAAAAATACAGATGTAAAGAGCTGAAATGTATCATCATTCAAATTACTGATGTCACTTGGAAAATAATGGAAGCTTGGGAATTGGTCTGGGATGTAAGATCAGTAGCACTTATTTTTATGGTTACAATAAAAGTTTGTTGCAATAAATTAAACTCATACACATGCTTGCTTCACCAGCACATACTAAAATTAAACTCATATCCTAGAGAACAAGAGGGTAGGATCTCCTTAGGAAAAAACACTAACACAGACTACCATAGCATATGTCACCACTAAATCGTATGTTTGATGGTATTTGCCTAGCTAGTCCTGCTAAGATATAAATACATTTCCTAATGCCTTCCATAAAATCAGATTCATGTTTCATAATCATTTCACTTCTCAATATTCAGAGGACTCATCAAAATTAGAGCTGTTCCCATCATCCTATTGTGAATTTGTATTCTAATTAGTAAAGATTCTACATACTGTTCTTTGGTTCTTACAGATTGCTTTTTTTTTTGAGCAGTGCCTTTCAAGATAAACCTGGTTTATTCTTTTCCTGAATTAGGAGGAAAAAAACCCAGCTATAAAATTTTGGGGGGCCCCTAAGGATATTTGATATCATTATCGATATTATATTATTAAATTAGTAATAAATTTTCTTGGTGATTAAGGTATTGTGATTCTTTAGGAAAATGTTCTTAGTTTTAGAAGAGACATGCTAGGGACGCCTGGGTGGCTCAGTTGGTTAAGCGGCTGCCTTCAGCTCAGGTCATGATCTCAGCGCCCTGGGATCGGAGTCCCACATCCGGCTCCTTGCTCGGCAGGGAGCCTGATTCTCCCTCTGCCTCTGCTGCCACTCTGCCTGCCTGTGCTCGCTCGCTCTCTCTCTCTGGCAAATAAATGAATAAAATCTTAAAAAAAAAAAAAAAAGAAGAAGAAGAGACATGCTAAAGTATTCACAAGTAAGTGTCATGATATCTTAACGTAAAGCAAATGTGGCAAAAAGTTAACTGGTGAATCTTGGTGAGGAGTATAAAGGAGTTAACTGTATTATTCTTTCAATTTTTCTACGGCTATTAAAATTTCAACACAGAGGTGCCCGGCTGGCTAAGTTAGTGGAGCATATAACTCTTGATCTCTGGATCATGGATTTGAGCCCCACACTAGGTGCAGGGATTGCTTAAAAATAACAAAGATCTTGGGGCGCCTGGGTGGCTCAGTCAGTTAAGCTGTTGCTGTTGGCTCAGACCATGATCCCAGGGTCCTGGGATTGAGGCCCTCTTGCTCAGCAGAGAGTCTGCTTTTCCTTCTCCCTCTACCCCTCCCCTGCTTGTGGTTTCTTCCTCTCAAATAAATAAAATCTTAAAAAAAGAAAAAAATAATAAAAGAAAAAATTAACAGGAAAAAAAAATTTTTCAACATAAAACTTTAGGGAGAAAAACATCATTAATTTTTAAAAACTTGAACCAAATGTTAGCCTTATCAAATAAACTTATGAACAAAAAGGGTTACTAGGCCTCAAATTATAATTTTCTCCTCCTAAATAATGTTATAAATAAGAACTTTTGGGGCACCTGGGTGGCTCAGTGGGTTAAAGCCCCTGCCTTCGGCTCAGGTCATGAATCCAGGGTCGTGGGCGCTCTGCTCAGTGGTGAGCCTACTCCCGCCCCCCCCACCCCTCTGCCTGCCCCTCTGCCTACTTGTGATCTCTGTCAAATAAATAAATAAAATCTTTATAAAAAAAAAAAAAACTTTTCCACTGAAAATCAAATACCAAAAGCCTTTCCTACTCATAAAAGCATTTTAAACAGCCATGTATTAGAGCAGTTTTGACAGTTTGAGAAGAGAAAATGCAAAACATTTACATCAAGAGGGTCAAGTTTTCCCAGTTAACTAGAAGACTTACCTATCCATGTCATCGTCTCCTGGTAATAAGGGTGGGAGGGGCAAAGGAGGCAACGTTGAAGTTTTTAGGTGTGGAATAGCAGCTGTTACGGATACTTGAGTCTTCACAGAAACCTGTGCAAGGGGCTGAGAATTTGCCTGAGAGGACAAAGTAGATGTCCTTGGGTGAGTAGAAGGGGGCAAAGTTGAAGTACTAGAAGTAAGAACCTGACTAAATGCTGGTTGGGGAGGAGGCAGAGGTGGTTGCTGTGGAATAGCTGGTAGTGGAGGCAAAGGTGGCAAAGGGGGTGTCTGAGGTGGAGGGGTAGTAGTTGGTAAAGGAGGTGGAGGAGAAGTAACTGTGGGGACAGGTGGAGGAGTCTCCTTTTCTGATGTCTCTGTCTCTTTTGGAGTAACAATGTCCTCTTTCAATGCTATGGGTTTAGAGTCTCTTGATCCCTGCATTTTCAAATCTTTAATAGGATGCTTCTCAGAGTTCTCATCCAATTTTACTTTCCCTGTATCTAAGGAATTTTTGACTTCTGTATTTAGATGTGGTACATTCACCAGTTCAGTATCTGGGGCAGATTTTTCCAATTTTACACCTCTGGTTAACTTTTTAGACTCCAAGCCTGAATCCTTAGCCTCTACTAAACTATTCTCTTTTCTAGGCAAAAATATAGGTGAACCCTTGGATTCCTTTCCATCCATTTTTGCTGCAGCAGCAGCAGCAGCTCTTTCCTTCTTTTTCCTACTGAGTTCAGCTCCCAAGCTGGAGTTCAATGGAAGCCTGACAGGTGAGATGCTGGAATGTCGACTGCGTGACCCGGATCTCTTCTTTTTACTATGAGAAGACGAGTGTCTTGAATATGCAGGACTTCTGCTTCTTGACTTCATGGATTTCCTACTGTAAAAAGAAAAAGGCAGTTTAAAATGATTAGCTGACAACAATATGCAGGAAAATACATCAGTTAAACTATGGAGCACTGTAGCTTAAAGAACCTACTTTGAGTAATTTAGCAATCTTAGAAATGAATTAGGTACCATCAGACAAGATCGGGCGCGTTCAGGGTGGTATGGCTGTAGACTTAGGTACCATCAAAAAATAACGATGATGATGATAATAGTAATATCAATATTGGGGCACTTGAGTGGCTCAGTTGGTTGAACAACTGCCTTTGGCCAGGTCATGATCCTGGAGTCCCTGGATCGAGTCCCACATCAGGCTCCCTGCTTGGTGGGGAGTCTGCTTCTCCCTCTGACCCCCCCTCCTCTTGTGCTCTCTCTCTCATACTCCCTCCCTCAAAAAAATAAATAAGGGGTGCCTGGGGGCTCAGTGGGTTAAAGCCTCTGCCTTCGGCTCAGGTCATGATCCCAGGATCCTGGGATCAAGCCCCGAATCAGGCTCTCTGCTCTGCAGGGAGCCTGCTTCCTCCCCTCTCTCTCTCTGCCTGCCTCTCTGCCTACTTGTGATCTCTCTCTGTCAAATAAATAAATAAATCTTTAAAAAATAAATAAATAAATAAAATCTTTAAGATAATAATATCAATATTGTTGTTAACTGTAACAAATGTACCAGTTCAATGTAAAACGTTAATAACAGGGGAAACTGGATGCGAGGACATATAATAATTCTTTGTACTATCTTCACAATTTTTTTTTATGAATCTAAAACTGCTCTAAAAAATAAAGTTTACTTAAAAAATAGATTACAAGGTGGGTGCCTGGATGGCTCAATGGGTTAAGTCTCTGACTTCGCTCAGGTCATGATCTCAGGATCTAGCCCCATATCGGGCTCTCTGCTCAGCAGGGAGCCTGCTTTCCCATCACCCCCACACCTGCCTCTCTGCCAATTTGTGATCTCTCTCTCTCTGTCATAAATAAATAAAATCTTTTAAAAAAGTAGATTACAAGGAACAACATATTTCAATCACATAACACTAAAATTATCCATTACTTACTTACTACAAGAAGATGGGTGAGTATTTTTTTCCCATGTTGGAAAACACCCATATTCACAATGATTACTTTTTTTGAATTTCGGTTTAAATCTGATAAAATGAAAACATGATTAAAAAAAAAAGTCATACATCATAATGTGGGTTATACCAATAAGGAAGTTAGAAGTAACTGGCATGCTTCACCAAAACCTAACTGTTTCAACTAGGGAGCTATTTAATTGACAGATCACAGGAAAATTTTGTTCCTTGTATCCTCAGTCGATAATTAAGTTGTGCCTATACTAAACAACCCCTAAGATACAAGACTCATTAGGACTTGCAAGATAAATAAGCTGAAAAAGTTGTCTTACCAAATAATTTATCAGAAGTTCCCAAAACTATAATGACTTCTAGTACTTTCAAATATAAAATGATTTCAAATCAACTTTTTTTTTTCAAAGATCTTTTTTTTTTTAAGATTTTTATTTATTTATTCGACAGAGATCACAAGTAGGCAGAGAGAGAGAGAGGAGGAAGCAGGCTCCCCGCAGAGCAGAGAGCCCGATGTGGGGCTCGATCCCAAGACTCTGGGATCATGACCTGAGCCGAAGGCAGAGGCCTTAACCCACTGAGCCACCCAGGCGCCCCTTTTTCAAAGATTTTATTTATTTGACGAAGATCACAAGTAGGCAGAGAGGCAGGCAGAGAGAGAGAGGGAAGCAGGCTCCCTGCTGAGCAAAGAGCCCCATGCAGGGCTGATCCCAGGGCTCTGGGATCATGACCTGAGCTGAAGAGAGAGGCTTAATCCACTGAGCCACCCAGGTGCCCCTCCATTAACTTTATAGGAACTCATAAAGCAAAGTACTTTTGTATGTTCAATTTATTTTCTTCATTATTAAGAATTTGGAAATCCATGAGGCAGATTACTCTAAATTGAAACCTAACCCTCATTCTTTTTGCCTTTTCATAAAGCCTAATGTGCTCAGACCTCAATGTGAAGGGAGAAAAAATAGCACTAAAAACCTGACTAAACAAAGCATTATTTGCCCAGTAGTCTAAAATAAATTGTTCCCACTCCAGATCTTCAGTATCTCCCTTTATCTTTGGTCATTAGTAATACTGACATATTTCAAAAAATGTTTCAAAACAAATAGTTCGTATGTGTAGGCAAAGTAACTCACATGGTATTAGCAATGGTTTTCTTATACCTACACTGCTTTTTGGAAGTTTGCTCCACAAAGTTAGTTAAAATACAGGTCATTATTGGAATACAAGTACTCAAAACAGCAATAACAATATATATATGAACATAAGAATATACAACGCTGAAAATGGTTAAGTGGATTTATCAAACTAATACATCTCTTGTAAATAATTGGATGAAACCAGAGGTTTTCTCTCACTGAATTGGAGCTGGGATAAAACTACCACCTCTGCTATCCCAGGATAAGATAAACTTCTAAAGTCCCAAACACTAAGTAACGTCAGAACCACGTACTCTAAAAACTAGTTTCTTTAATCATTCAGCATTACTAAATCTTCCTAAGGAACTCTGCTACAAATCCTTCAATTTCCGAACAGAAGCCTATTGTTAATAGAACATTCTGATGGCCATATACTTATGGCATTTTTAGTGATACAAATGCTATATTGAGGGCAAGATCCACTCTTCAAGCAAAAAAAACCAACGTGGGGGGCAAGGTGGTGAGAGGAGACAACCAATAGGTAAATGCAGGCAATAATAAAAACTGTTCTCAAAAACAAGTGTATATTCCCCCGAATTGAGTTAGGTTCTACCCATCTGAAAAGAAATTGCTACCATTAATCACTATTAATTTGGAGGATGTCAAGACATTGCCTTTCTGGCAAGGCATTTTCAGTCTTTTAAAATGATATTGCTTGTTTAATTTTGACTGTCTCCCAAGGAAAAAACAGAGATATCACAGAAGGGATCTGTATGCTCTACTCTAAGAAATTTTTGTATTTACTGTCTGGAAGTCCAGCGAATGAGAAAAAATCTGTAGTGCACACATACAAACATATAATGCTCTCTAAAACCCAACTAAAAATATGCGTGTTGACTCTAAAATTATGTTTACATATTGTGTCCTATGCTATCATACTGTGTCTCCAATTCTTTCCTGATTTACTTTTTACCATTACTGCACTAGTTCCAATGAACTGAGTAGAGGAAGAGAGAACTTGCGATATGAATCCAAAAGGAATCACTGCAAAGCAAGTTCTTGCTGAAAAAGTCACTCTAGTGTTTTAGTCTCAAGTGCACTTCCATATTCCCAAAACTCATGACAATAAAAATTCTCCAAACAGCCTTAATGAAACTACTCCCTCAAGAAAACAAGTATTCTGAGAATATTTCTTATGTTCCCTTAAACGACTAAGCTACTTTACAAATTAAAACACTTAAAACATCCATTTCACTGTATATAAATTTTACTCTTACCCCTTCAAAGTCAACTCCAGCTAATGTTATACACAACACACTAAAATGCTTACAGTGAAGTATACTGATGTTTGCAATTTGAGATGAATCAGAACAAAAGATGGATTAATGGAGAGATGGATGGATATGATAAAATATATAGCACATATTAATTGTAGAATCTAGGTAGTACATATATGGATCCTCACCATAATTCTTTCAACTTTTCTGTTTGAAAAATTGTGATAAAATGGGAGGCTTAGGGGTGAAGGGAAGGACTAAGGAACTTTTAGACCCTCACAGCTAAGAACTCTGCAGTTTGATTAATTCAAACTAATTTATGAATAATTATCACTTTAAGTCAGCAAAAATTACTCATATTGACATGTAAAAGATATGCAGATATGCATGGATTTTTACTAATTAGCATAATCTCTCCCCTAGTATTCAACATTTCCTCACTCATAAGACAGAATTTACTGACTTGCACCAGGTAACCAGGAACTGTGCTATACACTTCTTATTTACTAGCTAATTTAATCCTCACAACTACTCTCAAAGTAGGTAGTTATTATTCCCACTTTACATATGAAGAAACATAGGCAGGGAGAAATTAAATTATTGCCAAAGTTCACAAATCAAGATTAGGATTCCACTCAAGTATAACTCCAAAACCCATCTTCTTTTGTGGACAAAGGTGAGTCCACAAAGAAACACATCTCATCATCTAGGAATAAGAACAGTTTTCAGTAGTAATTAATCTTAACAATTAAATTTCAAACTAACCTGCCTTTTTTGCTAAAATATGGTAAAGGCACTATTACCATTTTTTTAGAGAAAGATTTTGAAAATTGCCAGTGGTCACAGGATAGGTAAATGGTGATGCTGTTAAAAAAAAATCGAATTCTCCTTAGAACCAATTTCTGCTAAGCTATATATCAACAAAAGGAAAAAGGACTAAACAGCTGAATTTCCACTAGAAACATCAGTTAAAAGACAGGAGTTATCAAAACATTGTCAATTAGGAAATAAACTTACAGCTTTGAAGACTCAGTGGATAGCACACGCACAAATGATAGACGACCTAGGCAAACAGCTTCAAGATAATGCAAATGAAAATTTATAATTTCTTACATCTCCAGTCAGGTCCAGTGAGGTCTAAAGCACGAATACCAAGGTGATTTTAAAACAGTTAAGATAATGCAACAGAAATTGCTTGATAAGCTCTGGATAAGCTCAGTTATCAACCCTATGTATTCAATAAGCTGGAGCTTCTTTTTCTCACAGGAGCTTACAACTGAAGATCTCACCACTGGAAGTACCTACCTTTAGCAGTTTTAGGTATTCGAACTCTCCACTTCTCAAATTCTGGGGTAAGAGAAGACCAGATTCACCTACTTGAATAACTAGCCAATAGCAAGGTGTTCCTCCATGAGGAAGACTGGGGGCTTCAACAAAACATTAACAAGACTAACTGCCAGTTCCTGATGACCCAGCCTAAGTAAGAAAGGGCTATAGGCAAATAGCTCACCTGGGGAGCGGACTCCGACTCAAAGACCGTTTGCTCATGAAAGGGCTGCTGGACCGTCTGCGACCGTAGGGACTGGGTGATCTCCCACTGTAAGAGCCACTCCTTTCATAGCTGGAAGAACGTCTCCGACTATAGGGACTCACAGATCTTTGTCGTCTACTGTAGGGACTGGGTGACCGGGTGCTGGATTGGTAGGCCGAAGGCTCCTTGTAAGGAGGGCTAATTGACTGCCTTCTTGAGGTACTTCCAGGACTCTTCTTGTAGGAGTCATAATTACTAGAGGTGTGAGATCTTGGGGGACTAAGGTCATAATCTTGGCCATAAGAAGCTCCTGACGGGCTATCATCTTGCTTGGGGCTGTCAGACCATTTCCTATGAGGACTCCTGGATCTCCGTTTGGGGCTGTCCACTGTTTTGTAGCTTTTGGGTGTTTCCCTTTTCCGATGACTTTTACTCCGGTCTTTGTGCCCAGACTTCAACTCACGTTCTTTCCGGGTCTTCTCTTTATGGAGTTTGGATGACCTGGATTCTTTGTTGCTGCTGCTTTTGGATATCTGTGCCTTCCCATAGTCCTCATTCTCTTCATTTGAACGCTTTGAACTTCCTGATACCCGGTCCTTAATCGATCCCGATTTGCTGGAGACTTCCTGGTTTTTTTCTTTTTCTGTTTGTTTAGTTTTTAGTAAGTCCCGGGAACGTCTGTGCTGGTGGTGACGATGTTTGTGCAGGCGGTCACTCCGATCAGTTCCACGACGTTCATCATTCTCCCTCCTGTCCAGTTTGAAGGCCATGTCATCAGAGAAGGTATCTGAATCAGAGCTGATGTCATCATACTCCACCAAAGGCTTGATAATTGTACCCAAAGGTGCTGCTTCGGGGGTCACTAACCCCATGTCTTTGGAGTGCTTGGATTTATGCCGCTTGTGCTTCGACACCAAGCGGTGACGCTCTCTGCTGTTGGAGCTGCCACCTCCCGATGACGGCTGCAAAGTTCCAGAAGCTCCTCCACTCCCGTCCTTCTTGCCCCCATGTCTCTCTGGATTGGGCATTCCCTTTCCCCTAGCCTCAAAAAGGGGAAAAAGTTCCCCAGCACTCCAAAAAGTAACCCCCACCCTCCCCCCCAACCCCACGCCTACCAAAGCGCCCCTAGAACGGGGTGGGGAGGGAAGGGACGGTAGCCCAGGCTCCTCCTCCCTCCCGACGCCTCAGCACCCTCCTACATGAGGTAGGGGGTGAAGGAGCCAGAAAAGAGATGAGAGTTCCTCAGCAGTGGAGTTGCGAGACAACGGGTAGCTGCTCAAGTCTGTTTCCCCTCCTCCCCCCGCCGAGCCAGTCCTCAGGCCCGGGCGCCGGGGAGGTCGAGGAAGTAGGAAGCCGACGGCCTGGGTCTGTGGGGCCGACTCCGGCTCTGGGGCCCTGTGAAGACTGCGCGGGCCCTTCCCCTACCCGGTAGCCCGGCTCGGGGCGGCTTCCTGTCGCTGGGGTCCCGCGGCCTAGGTGCTTCACGCCCCCTTTGTCCCTCGCTCCTGAGAGAGCCCCTCTTCTTGCCTCCGCCTCACCTTAATACCTCACACTCACTCGCTCCCTCACACAGACTCAGTCACACACTAGGTTAAACCGAAACGGCACTTAGAGGAGGGGGGGGGAGGGGGCAAACCCAGGAAATACCGCGAGAATCCTGAAGACTCTCGCGGTATTTCGTGCTTCCCTTTCACCTCTCACCACGGCTTCTTCAAACAACGCGAGAGTAGGTCCTGAACAAGAAACGCGTTCCGCCAGATTCTCGCGATAAGCTCCCCGCTCTCCATTTGAGCAAAGCTTTATTGAAACGGCGGTAGAATTTTTTGTTTATTCAAAACTTTATTGGTAACTCATTGAACAAAAACTCCCAGGCTCCGGCACAAAACTAATTTTGCTTACTTTATGACAACTCTTTTAACTACCAGTATGAAAATACTGTCAACGGGACAAAGGGCGAGTGTGGAGACACTTCAACCCAAGTCCTTAAGTATTAACAATGCCTCCTTCCATAGCGTATACTATGCGCCTCATCTCTAATTCTCATACTACCCTGCAAAACGCGATAGCCTCTTTCCTATTTTACATATAAGGAAACTCGGAGTCACAGAAGTTAAATAACTTACTCACGATAACAAAGCTAGTCCAGCAAGTGCCAAAAACGAGATTCAAATTCAGGTCTAGCACCAAAGCACAGCTCTTAAATAATATGGCACTTGCTCTTTCCACTCTGTTTAAAATCTTAACTTGAAAACTCATCACCTAGTCGGATCGTCTGTGGCTTTTCTGGAATCATTTAGCCTCTTATCTTCACACAGAAGATTATAATTACGAACAAGTAGAACATAGTATTCATGAGCAAGAAAAAATAATATCCTGCCCTTCATATTTTATTTTTCAGAACTTCGCACACATTAGCTCATTCCATCTCCACAGTCATCTGAATAGGATTGTATATGTGAAGAAACTAAGGCACCAAGGACTCAAATGACTTATCCGAAATTCTTCATTCATTTATTCATCAAATTTATCTATGAGACTTTACGGCCCTCCTCTGTGAAATAGTGTCCTTTCTCTAAGGTCATCAAGCAAGATACAGAGAAAATATTCATACCACAGGATATAAGATGATTAATGTCATAAGAATGATACAGAGCACTGCAAAGGTTCTAAAGGAGGATGAGAGTGTTAAGAAAAAGTTTTATAAATGTAGGGCAGTTGAATAGGATCACGAAGATTAAATGGGATATGTATAACAAAAGTGGGAAGACCAGGGTCACATGGGTGGCTCAGTCAGTTAGTGTCTACTTTAGGCTCAGGTCATGATCCCAGGGTCCTGGGATTGATCCCTACATCAGGCTCCTTGCTTGGCAAGGAGCCTGCTTCTCCCTCTGCCTACCGTTCCCCCTGCTTGTGCGATCTCTCTCTCTGATAAATAAATAAATAAATAACATATTTTTTTTAAAAATGGGAAGATTAGCCAGTAAATTAGGGCCCAGAAATTACCCTGAATATAGGCAGAAGAATCCACTCTCAGAATTACTCCTGGAAAATGTTCTTGTTGGGGAGCCTGAGTGGCTCAGTTGCTAAGGGTCTGCCTTCCACTCAGGTCATTATCTCCCTGTCCTGGGATTGATCCCCACATTGGGCTCCCAGCTAGGCGGGAAACCTGCTTCTCCCTCTTCCATTCCTCCTGCTTGTGTTGTCTCCCTTTGTAAAATAAATAAAACTTAAAAAAAAAAAAAAAGGAAACAAGTGCTGACAGTTTAAAAAAAAAAAAAAGGAAAGATGTTCTTGTTGCTTTTGGTCACATGGGTACCAAAAAGAAAATTTTTTACCTAGATGTTTGAGTCCATAAACATTTGCTAAAAAAATGAAAAAGGTAAACTTTTTAATTAACCATGGGAGGAAGTTTAATGCCATCAAGAAAAAAAGGATAGACATAAGTACTGGAACTCAGGTATAGACATAAGTACTGGAACCATTCATTGCTGCAAGAGAGCCTGGATATAAAAGTCCCCACCAGTGTCTGACATGATGGCCAGTGGAATGACTTAGCAACCAACTAGATGAAATGACTGAGCCACCTTATCAAACACGGGCATGAGTTCAGCAAAATCACTCTGAGTTTTTATGTATTCTAAATGAGATTAAGTTTTTGACCCAGGATACACCCACACCTACTTAAAATGGAAAAATGGGAACAGCAGAAGGAATTAATGGTAATGTGTCAAATGAAATCTTGAATAAAATTCATCTAAATTAAACAGTAGTTGAAACTTTCTTAATTATTGGTTACCTATTGAAGACTAGAGACTCCTATTGAATTAATGAATAAATGAAGATTTTACTGAATTTTTCTATTTCTATAGTACTGTTCAATTTTCCACAGAACTCTTTTAAGTCTGTCAGTAGATATCAGTTGAACAAAAAATCCAGTAAGGTGGCCAAGATTGGTATTACTACATCCATCTACTAAAGGTTAAAACCGAGACTCAGGAATTGGAATATGCTTCCATTAAGTGTAGGAAGTGCCAGGATCAGGGAAAGCTCTTTCTTTAATCTTAGACCAGTACTCTTTCTATTGCAGTACACTTTCTCTTTTTGATCGATACATTTCTACTCTAGTCTCAATAATCTCTAAATAAAGCTGGGAAAAAAATTTTACTCTAGGAAATATATTTTGTCCAAGTGTTTAAATACAAAATCAAGGGGCGCCTGGGTGGCTCAGTGGGTTAAGCCCCTGCCTTCGGCTCGGGTCATGATCTCAGGGTCCTGAGATCGAGTCCCGCATCGGGCTCTCTGCTCAGCAGGGAGCCTGCTTCCCTTCCTCTCTCTCTGCCTGCCTCTCTGCCTACTTGTGATCTCTGTCTGTCAAATAAACAAATAAAATCTAAAAAAAATAAAAAAATAAAAATAAATAAATACAAAATCAAGTGTAAACTGCAGAAATTTGTCCAACAATTGGTGAAAATAGTGCTTTTTATAAAATAAGGGTTGCTTCACTCTACAGAAAAACTTTGAACTGAGAAATTCCAGGACTGCATGATTTGGTTTATTTGCATGACGTCCTAGGACAGGGAGTCAGGGCAACTTTATGAACCCCAAGGTAATCAGTTAGATGAAGGCTATACTTTCCCTGTAAATCCCTCAAAGCAAGTCAGAAAGCGTTTCTTTAGGCTGTACTCAAGAGGAAATATTTAACTAAAGTCAGTAACTCCCCCAACCCTGCTCTGGATCAATTTATTAGTTTAGATTTTAGGTTTAAAGAGTCCTGTGAAATCTCCCTCAAAGCTTAGTCATTGGGGCACCTGGGTGGCTCAGTCATTAAGCGTCTGCCTTCAGTTCAGGTCATGATCCCAAGGTCCTGGGATCGAGCCCTGCATTGAGCTCCCTGCTCAACGGGAAGCCTGCTTCTCTCTCACCCACTCCCCCTGCTTGTGTTCCCCCTCTTACTGTGTTTCTCTCTGTCAAATAAATAAATAAAATCTTTTAAAAACCCAGTCATTTAAAATTTGACTAATGTCCCCTTTTTGCCATATACAAAGCCTGCTCCTGTGTGCACCTTGAATGATTTTCTTGTTTAATGACATGTCTCTCCTTTCTTTACTTTTGGAGCACAAATTTTTCAATAATGTCATTTTATCTGCATTTTCAGATGAGAAATAACTTCTTATTCTGTTCCATAACCAAATTTTGGTAAAGTTTACATTATTTCCAAGCTTAGAAGCTTTAAAATTACCTAGCTACACTTGGTATAGACATTATTGTGTACAGTTTCCATGAGGAAATGTAGCTGTATATCTAATATTGATATTTTGGGCACAATAACAAATTAACAAAAATTTGGGGGTACTGATTATTGTAACCAATCATATTTTCAGAATTCTAAATCAAGTGAGTCCATCTAAGTTTGGGGCTGTGTTTGTATTACCAGCTCCTACCTAATACACAAGTATTAGGATTCCATCGATGCTTGTCAGCATTTGATTTGATTTGATTTAAAGATTTTATTTATTTATTTGACAGACAGAGATCACAAGTAGGCAGAGAGGCAGGCAGAGAGAGGAGGAAGCAGGCTCCCTGCTGAGCTGAGAGTCCGATGTGGGGCTCAATCCCAAGACCCTGAGATCATGATCTGAGCCAAAGGCAGAGGCTTTAACCCACTGAGCCACCCAGGCACCCCTGGAGGTAGCAATCTAACAGGGAAGATAGGCATTGAACCATCATGTACTTAATACACTTAATTGGCGAAAGTGCTATTAAAGAGAAGTTTGAGGGGCACCTGGGTGGCTCAGTCGGTTAAGCATTGAAGTCTTGATTTAGGCTCAGGTCATGATCTCGGGGTTGTGAGATCCAGCCCTACATTTGGCTCTGCGCTCAGTTTGGGGTCTGCTGGAAATTCTCTCTTTCTCCCTCAGCCTCTCCCTCAACCTTGCACACGCAGGCACATATACTCTCTCTCTCTCATAAAAATAAATACCATCTTGGGGCGCCTGGGTGGCTCAGTGGGTTAAGCCTCTGCCTTCGGCTCAGGTCATGGTCTCAGTGTCCTGGGATCGAGCCCCGCATCGGGCTCTCTGCTCAGCAGGGAGCCTGCTTCCCTTCCTCTCTCTCTCTCCGCCTGCCTCTCTGCCCACTTGTGATCTCTGTCTGTCAAATAAATAAATAAAATCTTCAAAAATAAATAAATAAATAAATACCATCTTAAAAAAAAAAAGAGAGAGAGGCTTGAACTAATGTAACAGAGGACTTGATCAAGTCAGGGGCTAGAGAAGGCTTCTCTAGTCTAGAGGAAGACAATTAAATTGACATCTGAATAAGAAGGCCTTAGTGAGATGAAGGGGTCAGTTGGAGGTAAGCTTCTCCCAGCACTTAAAAAGTCCTGTTCAAGCACACTGGGAGAGAAAATAGTGCAGGAATTTTCTTTTCTTTCTTTAAAGATTTTATTTATTTGACAGAGAGAGAAAACAAGAGAGTACAAGCAGGGGGAGCAGCAGAAGGAGAGGGAGAAGCAGGCACCCCACTGAGCAGGGAGCCCAATGCAGAGCTTGATCTAAGGACTCTGAGATATGACCTGGGCCAAGGCAGATGCTGAACCAACTG